GGTGCTCACCAAGCCAAGTCCTGACAGCACTGTCTGGAGCTCACCAGGACCTGGGCAGACACGATGTGTGACTATCAGCTGTGGGCAAAACCCAGCTATCGCCCTTGGCTAGGACAGGACTGCAGATATTATGGGATGGGGGACATTTTGACTGTGGATAGGATTTTTATTCATCTTCACTGATTGTAATCAAGAAAGAGAGACAGTACTTAATTATGCTTCTGTGCTGCATAGTCACTTAACTCGCAACATATGGTATAATTAAATAACCAAATTTTTATTTCTCATACCAGGAAATGAATTTTTTTCCAGAGTTTTTTGCTGTTATTCTCTAACTGGGGCTGTTATTACAGCCTGAAGGCTGTAATTTCTAATTACCAATGGCTTTTATTTAACAATCTCGTAACGTATATGTCACTGAGAAATTAAATCTGATTCTAGCTAATGAAAAGGTCAGCTCTGAAATGTACCAGTATTAAGCTGTGGGAATCCAGTACTTTTATTAATATTTGTGTTGTACAGGACTTATACAGGGACCAAATCTTACATATTTTAAGAGGGAACCAAATAGCTGAGATTTATGCCATATTTAGCAATGCAATAGAATTTCTTTTGGAAGCAGTAGACCAGTAATCTGGGAATTTTGGCTATCATCCTGCTGCTATTTATGAGCAATTTTAATGTAGTAATTATATGTAGGGAAAATTGTTCACTAGGTTTATGAGATAAATGGAAATTTAATCTTTTTTTCTTGTTCAGTTGTCCAATATTTTTATTACACACTTCTGGAAGCAATGGTATACAATACAAGAATCTGGAACTGCATTGCTCCTTAGAAATACTGATACTTTGAAAGATTTGCTCACTGTAAGTTAAAGGCAGCTCATTAAACAAACAAATGAGCTGTCCTTAGAGCAATCAGTATTTACTATTAACTGAACAGCCCAGTAAATAATGAATTGCAGGTAAGGAACTACAGATAAGTATTTGCAGTGAATTCAAATTACTGGACTTAAGCCTGAGGCGGGGAAAAGAGAACATAAAGCTAAAAATGGAGGGAGGCGGGGGGGGGAAGAAAAAGGAAGAGGAGGTTTCATAAATGTAACATTTGTTCTCGCATTCATACTCGCTCATTGTGCTGAGGAAACGTTTTCTTTGGTAATTTTTTTGCCCTCCTCTCCGGTGCAAGGGATGCTGCAGCCGACTCCTGGGGAGAACAAAGAAGAATGTTCTCTGGATTCCTAGGAAAAAACAAGCTGTGGGGGCCTGATGTTTTTACCAAGGTCAAGATTTTGCCATTTTCTCTCTGGCGCTGACTAGACCCCAGGTGAAGGTTGTGCTTTGGCACCAGTGAGACCGAAACCTGCCCGCAGCCGCCGAGTGTTTGTGCAGCTACCTCATTTATTTCTCCAAAATTATCTCGGCAGTTAAATTGTTCATTTGCTAGAAACTGGCACGAGATGAGAAATTTTGGTTTGGGGGTTTAATCATCGCAGGAGTGAAGGAAACTTCAGCGCTGCCTGAAGTTTGGGTGAGCAGCTGCGTTTAAGGATGGGGTGTCTGGACGACGTCTGATATTGCTCCTTCAGGAAGGGGCTCGGGGGTGTTTGGGTGGTGGAGATGAGAGGGAAAGGTGGGTGATTTAATCAGGGACTCTGCAGTTTCAGCCGAGCTGTGGGCCTGGGGCTTGGTAGGACAGCCAAACATGTGACAGCCATACAAAACACCCAATGCTTGGCAGCCCCGTCTATACGTCACCTTAAATAAGGTTAATGGCTTGACACAGGTCTCTTTGTGGGGAGGATGATGTCTCCACCTGCCCGTCTGCTGGGGACTGTGTCCAGAGCAAGGCACAGAGGAGTGACCGGTGGAGTGGGGCATGTCCAGGGAGATGTGCCTTAAATGTTTGCCTTCCCTAATAACTGCTGTCTCAGCCAGCACAGCTGGGATAACAACCCCACTACCCCATTAGGGGTAATATATATAACATACAAGCAGGAGGCTTGTCTTGCTGGAGAGTTATTACTGGGTAAATACCTCCTCAAAGATATTGTTGCTTGATTCACGTCACCCCAGGACTGTTCCTCATGGAAACAGCCCTGGAGTTGGATGGTGGAGGTGAAATGCAGCTGCGGGGAGGTTTCTGAGTGGCCTTTGGAGGTGCCCGATGGCTGTGTGTGAGTCCAGAGCCACCGGTCCCCCAGCGCTCGCTGCTTCCAAATGCTGGTGCTGTCAGCCCCCTGCATTAGTATTCATCGCAGGGAAAAAGAGCCAGGCGCTAGACAGACCCACTAATTACAGCAGCCTGCAGAGGCAAGTCGTGCCATACCACATGATAAAGGCTATCCTTTTTTCATTTCATACGTTTCTGCTTTGCTCTGTGTCACTTCATTAAAACAAAAAAAAAAAAAAAAAGAAAGAAGCATGAGCTAATGGGTTTGGTTAAGGAATCAAGCTGTTTTCCTGTTTTTTCTTGAAATTGAGTATGAAACTATACGAGGATTTGTAACGTATATATAAAAAGAAACTTCTCCCTCTGCAGCCTTAGCAAGCTGTGCATCTCCTGTGGTCTCAGCTCCGCCGTTGGCATCCCGACACAGCCGGCTCTGGTCCCCGGAGCGGTCGGCAGCCGGGGGAAGAAGGCAGCTTTGCTCCCACTAACGCACCATCTGCAAGCAGCAACCCTGGTCAGGTTTTTATGAGCCTAAATTGCAATTGGGTGGCCGGAGGGTTTGCTGGCAGAGCATCTGTTTCACCGTCGATGACACAGATAGGTCTGGGACGGAGCGTCTGGCAGGACTGGGTGAGGCAGGGCAGGAGAGAGCCTGGTCCTTGAGGGGCTTGTGTGGCCATCAGGTGGCTGCTGTGTGGCTGTGGGTCATGTGTACCCCCCCAAACTGTGCTACAGCCCAGATTTTATTGAATTGAGGCTTGGAAAGGTCTGTTGCTCCCAAGTCAGAGCTAGGAGAAATCAAACTGAGGGAAATACTGACTGCCACAAAACAGGACTTACTGATGTTGCCTGATGTGCACCCAGATGTGACCTGGGGATGGCAGTTCACCCCACGGGTCCCTGTCCCCCCGTCCCCTCTGGTGCCCTTCTGCACTGTCTCCCTCTGCAGAGCCAGGCTCTAAGCAGATTAGTCAGCTTCTTCCATCAGCGAACACTCAGGGCCTGAGATACTTAGAAGACATCTGTTTTTTAGCCTCATTTCTAAACGAATGAGGCTTATGTGATTATAGTGTCTGTCTCTTGTCCCCTCCTTGGCCAATTTCAATCTTCAGCCAGGGATCGTGGTCTCAAAGATGTTAACTCCCAGAAAGTTTTCGTGAATTGGTGACCGAGTGAACAGAAATTATCCTGTTAATTCCTCTGGAGAAAGGGCCACAGCACAACCTGTTGCTCATCTCTGAGAGGGAATGTGCTGGGAGGGAAGTCTCTCTGCTTCGTGCCTGTGTTTTGTGGAGGTCCTGCAAACCAACCATCAGGAGCAAACCACCATGAACTGGCTAGATGGCTCAGTGCTGTCTCTGCTCCAGCTGCAGCCAGCTGTGCTGGGCCAGGGCGAGTATCCCCAGCATCCTGCCTGCCCCCAACATGCCAACTGCTCTCACTGATCCCAGGATTGCTTTTCTGATCTGAGGATTAACCGGGTTGTATGTGCAAAGATCCGGGAGCTGTGTGCAAGCCAGGCTTAGTCTGGAAATACATTGCCACGGTCACACAGCTCTGCTGGTGAACTCAGAGCTTGCTGGGCTGCCCCTGGGTTGCTCTTTACCTCCAGTGTAGTAGCCTTAGCTTGAAAATCGCTCTTGCAAATTACCTTGATGACTGATGTCTAAATTCCCTTGAGACTGATGTCCCTTAAGTGCTATGTGATAGGAGATGCACAGGTACAAAACATAGAATCATAGAATGGTCAGAGTTGGAAGGGACCTTCATACAGTTCCCATCCCCTGCCCTGGGCAGGGACACCTCCCACCAGACCAGGTTGCTCCAAGCCCCATCCAGCCTGGCCTTGAAACCCTCCAGGGATGGGGCAGCCACAGCTTCTCTGGGCAACCTGTTCCAGTGCCTCACCACCCTCACAGCAAAGAATTTCTTCCTGATAGCTTATCTAAATTTCCCCTCTTCCAGTTTAAAAGTGTTCCCCCTTGTCCTGTGGCTCTACTCCCTGATCAAGAGACTCTCCCCAACTTTCCTGTATCCCTTTTAGGGACTGGAAGGGGTTCTAAGGTGTCCCCTTCTCAGGTTGAACAAAATATATCTTATACTGGTTAATGTTTCACTGAGATATTGTGAATGATGCTGATGATTGAAATTCTCTGTACACCCACATTTGTAGAATTCTCTCTCCTTTACTCCTCTGTGAATTACATGTAAATGCTCATTAGAGCTGAGTATGTCTCCTTTTGGCAGCTGTCTCACATTTTTGCCTTGTAATGCAGAACCTAAGGATGTATAATGGGTTGTGTAAAACCTACATGTAGTAGTTCTGGGATCATGGAAGAAAAGCAAAGGTTCCACGTTCAGGTCCTTATTAATGAACTAAACTGGATTTTGCCCTTTTTTAAACATAAATGAAAGATAAAAGACATAAGAGATTTATGAACAAGGTCATTAGTGTACCAAATTTCTCTCATTAGAACTGTTACATTACTTTCCAACTTACACAACTCTCATTAGAAGAATTTATGAACTGGAATGATTACAAATATACAGTATTTTAAACCATCCGTACTTTTAATTGCAAAACAAAAAAGACCAATTATGCTTCTGTTCTCTAATGGATTTGTACTTTTGTGCATGCATTTTTTTGTTAGAAACTTAATAGAGGACTTTCCCAATGCCAGGGAGTGGGGAGAGAGGAGAGGAAATTATACCTCGTAGTGCAATTTGCAATTTAGCTGCAAATCCTGAAGCGTTGCTTTAATTTACTAACCTTGTTAGAACCAAGTTCATATTGCAAGCTAATGTGGCTGTTTCTTTTCCCCGCTAGACTTTCAATTTCACATCCTTACATCTGATTTGAAGTGACGGTGAGAGGAAGCATAAGGTATCTCTCATTCTGTTTGGACTCCTTGTTTACAGAAGAGTGATGGAGATGCTATTAAGCACAAAAGGGATCACCATATGCCTGTTTTTCTTTGTATTGAGTTTGGCAGCAGCTATTGAAATACCATTATCAGGTGAGTTGTAGCTATTTACTGAACACTTTGCAGGTTCGTTTTTGTATCCCTCTTTTTTTTTTTCTTTTTTTTTTTTCTTTTTTTTTTTTTTTATAAACCTTTCCCCGAAGAAAAAAAATATTAAATCCTACTTTTCAGTTGTTCCGTTTTGAATTTAATTCTCCCAGAACATGGCCTTTGGGAAATTCAGACGCGATAAGAACGCAATCTGCTTTGTTTGGACCTGTATAAACGTAGCAGTAAACTTGTCTGATAACATATAGCTGGTGTTTGTGATCCAGCAGGCTGCTTAGCTCCGAGGGTTTGGTTTTGTCCTACACATAAATTCCTCATTTTAGCTCTGGATCTCCCTGAAGCTTGTTTGATGTATGTATACCTTTACTTACTTGTCTTGCAACCTGCTGTTTGGGTCTGGAAAAGGAGCAGGTGTATGTCTCAGGGCGTACATTAGTCCCCAGAGAAGTATTTCCTACGCCTCATGTGCTGCCCTGGGGAGCACCTCCTTTATCCCTCCCTGCTTGTGATGCATTCAAACGGCCTGTTTTACACGGATGGTGTGGTTTCGGGAGACATGTAAAATATGGGATGAGGCTCATAGGGGACAATCCAATGAAAGCCAATGGGCCCCACCGCCTGGAGTCCAGCCCAGACCTCCCAAGCTTTGCATTTTTTCAACCATAAACGAACCGTAGGATTACAAACTACAGGGGTTTGGAGGTAGGGGGAAAGACACATAATGCAAAACTCAAGAATATTGGATTTTGAATGAATTATGGTGAGGATAAATAAATAACACGGGCCAGTTCCAGGGCATGGTGTGGACCTGCCATGAGCTGTTAGCACTCTGGAGTCTGCCAACACTCCTGGTTGCAAAGGAGAAGGCAATCAAGCAGGTTTACAGGATATTTTTCTAAAGCTATCCCAACTTGTTTAACAGCATCTGGAAGTAGAAGTTTTTTGGAGGAAGGTACCACAGTGGCTCATTGCGTTTAAATAAAGCAAAAGTGGAGCTGTGGCTATAAAGTGCAGGACAAAGTGTCTGGGCATTGACTGCTTTTATGTACCTACACAGGGGAGCCATCTAGCCCTTAATTTGTTTTAATGAAGCATTTTATATTTTAATAAAAAGGAATTATGTCTGATCAGTGAAGCTGGTGGGTTTGGAAGTGTTTGGCTTTGAGACCACACGGTATGGCAAGGCACCATGTTTCGCTCCAGCTTTGAGCTTCCTGGACTTAAAAGAGAAACAAAAGAGGATGTTAATTTTCTTCCTGGCTGTTTATAACAATGGGATGATCCTATTATCCCCAGCTCCACTGCGGGGAGCATTCTCCCTTGTGTGGCTCTCTTACACAGGCATTTGCAACCCTTAAAAAAAAAAAGAAGTTAGTGAAACATCATTGCGTGACCGTGTGACTGGTAATGGCTCTTCCCATCCTCTACCCTGCAGGGGGTATTAAGTCATCTTTGCAGTCCATGGATTTCCTGGCAATTTTATCCAGGATAGAGATGGCAGTTTGCTACGTCATGTGTGTGTATCTGTGTCTGCATTAAAAAGCCAGTTATTGACTTCATCGCTGAATAAATTTACCAGTCCACACACCCGTGCTTTGGCTGTAGCTTTAGCATGGCCCTAGCTCTCCCCTGCCCATGATGGGTTGGTCATACATGGAAGCATGGGCTGGTGATGCCCCTGAGTGGCTGGTGAACATAGTGCTGTCAAGGTTTCCTCTGGCTGCTGAGGCCATGAAGGTCTTCAGCTTTAGGAGCAGAGAGTATTGTCAGTGCCAGGAAGATGATGATGACCATCTCTTCTTTTTAAGGCAAGCCTCACTTTTTGCACGCATAAGGCAATCCTGACGTTGTCCCTTTTGAAGAAAGGACCTGAGTTGTTCAGTTCTGCTTGAAGGGAGTTTTAACCCAATACCTCTTTGTGTTCAGTTGCACAGCTTCCAACAATCACGGAGCAGTCTCACACCCAAGTTGCGTACCCTTTTGATGAGGACTTTACGATTAAATGTGAAGCCCGAGGAAACCCACAGCCCACGTGAGTACTGCTTTCCCCTGGAGAAGCATGGTGAAATAGAGCTAGCTTTTGGCCTTTGCCAAACATTGTTCTATTTTTGAGAAGAGGAAAAATGGCTGATGTACCGTAACCCCTCATCATTGCAAGGAGAGGTTAAGGTTTGGGTTTCCATTTAGGCCATTCAGCTTTTGTTGTTCAATCACATCCACTCACTCTGAACAGATATCAACGTGCCTTTTTGTTGCAGGGAGATGTTCTGTTTCTCTAGCACGTGCTGAGTTCACCCCATGATTTAAAAGAGCTTGTCTGAGCTGTGCTGCAAAAGATAGGAGGTGTGTAATGGTAATCAAAGAGTCCCAGCTGTTCTTCTGCCTTTTTAGCAACCCTAAAAACACCAAGCACATTAAACCATGTATTCAGAGATCACATTTGCATTTTATCAGATACCTTGTCTGTACCTGACATCATTATTGCTGTGGTGATGTTACAAATGTACACATATAGAGTTATTCAAATAAATATCCAAAGATAAGCTTTATGTATTTTACACCAACGTAAAAAGGAAAAAGATTTTTAATGAAAATGCGATTAACAAAAATGTAATAATAACATAGTGAAAACTCTTGTGAGACTTTCTCCGCTGGATGGTGTTTGGGCTAAATTAATCTCTTGTTTGCATGTTATTTTTACTCTGTAATCCTTCCTTTCCTTTTTTCTATACAACACAATTTAAACTTGCTTTAAAAAGGCAGGTTTTATTTTTGTATCAAGATGTTTTGATCATTTTAACTGAGCTTTTGAAAAGTTTTGTGGTATAACTAAGTGTATGTGATAGTGCTGGTTAGGCAGTAGGAACCCATATTCCCCTCCAAGGGTTGCAAAACAGTTTTACCAATGCTAGTGAAGTGCCAAAATATACATTTCTTTTCACTTATTCTCTTAAAACATTACAAAATACTGAAAAAAATACTTGAGTGAAGTGCCAAAATATACATTTCTTTTCATTTATTCTCTTAAAACATTTCAAAATAATGAAAAATTACATTATACTGTAATTTCCATCTGTCTCTGATTTTGAATCAGTTTAGCCAAATTTTGGGCCGACACTTGCAAATACATAAGCTATGAGCAATGTTTTTGAATCAGTTTAGCCAAATTTTGGGCCAACTGACACTTCCAGATACATAAACTACGACCAATACTTCAGCACTCATCAAAATCACACCCCGTTAGCATCAAAATTACAAGTTTTGATTCTTGATTCTTGTAGTGAAACAAGGAGAAATTACGTCAGGTAATCTCCTGGATTTCTCCTGGGTTCAACCATGGTGTTTCCTGTAGATGGTATGAACATCTGTCAATCCTTGCCCATCAAAAGTACCAGCTCTCCTTCAGATACAGGTTTATCGCAAAGCTCTAGTTCCTTTCACTGCGTGACTCTGACTTTCACAGATGGTCTTTCTCATTTTTTGTCCTTGCCTTAAGCTTAGTATTCTTATTTCATGTCACAGTTGATTATCCAAAAGTAGAGTGTCCAACAGGAGCGACATGCCCACCAGCTAACACAAGTTATAGTAGCACAGTGGTCATTTTACCATCCAACTCTCTCCTCTTATTTCAAGCTTTTCCTTTTAGTTTAACGGTGCATTATTGGACCCATATTTACCACTGGGTTTGTACCATAGTGCTCTCTGTTCCATGCCCTGTCCTTGGTAACACTTGCATTATTTTCCAGCTTCAACTGGACTAAAGATGGAAAACCGTTTGATTTATTATCTGACCCGAGGATAGTTACATCTAACAACTCTGGAACATTTGTGATTCAAAACCGTGGAATCATCACCAATTTTCAAGGGAAATATCGTTGCTACGCATCCAATGTGCTGGGAACTGCCATGTCAGAAGAAATTGAGCTAATTGTTCCAAGTAAGGACTTTGATTTTGTTTTGTTTTTAAGGTGAAGACTGTCCTTCCTCAAATTAAATGGGAAAGAACTAGTTACTAAGGAGGTGAATGGTAAAACATGCACTGTTTGTTATTCAGTGAATATTGGAAGGGAAAAAAAAAATCTGTGTTCTCCTTGGAATTATTTCATTTCATTCCTGGTTTTGACAGAAATGAAAGCTGAATGCAGGATTTCAGACAATACCCCTGGACTATCAAGTTCTTACAGGTTTCCAAGTGCCAAACCTGACACTCCTTAACAACTTTAATATAAAGGCAACTGGGTAAATAATGTATGTGTTTTCCTAGACATATTAATTTGAAAAACATTTATTGTTCACTCTTTCTTTCTGAGTATCATCTGCCCCACTTTGCCCCTAGACGACAGGTTAGTGGGTAAAGTAGTATAAGATTTTTAATAGCCATTTAGGGAGAGCTGAATGTTCAATGACAGAAAATTATTATCTGCTTTGACTTGACTATTTAAATGCTTTTATAAAGCACTTGCTCTGCCTCTGCCATAAAACCCAGAAGAATTATTTTCTGACTTGTATTTGCTTAGAGCCACTCTTTGCTCTTCAGATGCTTTCTCTTCTAATATTTTTCTCTTTCTGTAAAGAAGAAAGCATAAATATTGATGAGAGTTGTAGTCTGGCAAATTCTCTACCTAATCTGGACAGAGAGAATTTGTGAGCTGATGCCAACACATAATGAAAATACAGAAATTAAAATATTTGGAGTGATAAAGCAAATAGCAGAAAAAATGGCAGAGTAGCTATCTGAACTGCAGTACAGGTATTGAAAGATATTAGCTATTCATGAAAGCTAGAAATAATGGCCTAGATCATGAAATAGTTTTAGAAATATATTAAAAATGAATGGGCAATAAAGGAATAGGAAGAAATTGTCAGAGAAAACAAAATTTTTTTGAGTCACATCACTTTGGGGAAGTGTTGGAAAAGATACTTTGTGAGCTTGGGAAAAGTCCTGAGTTAGAGTGATTAGTTCTCTCTAATAGTGGAGACATTTATTTGATAAAGAACTAGGAATCATGTGATGCTTTCACTTGCCAAACATTCCTTGGAAAGCAAATGCTGTTAAGAGTCATAAGGCTGTAATATTTCAGCTTGGCAACTGTGACTGAGTGCCCAGAAATTGGGAGGACAATAAGGTCTCCATTTCAGAGCAAGGAACATGAAATCAGAAGCTGAGGGAAGGATGGGAGAAATAGCAGTTTAGTACTGCAAAATAGCAACCCATGCAAATGTTCAAAAGCTGAAGGGGAAGTGATCAAATCAACTGTGAGTTCATTAGTCTGATGTCAGTAGCATTCAGGGTTTGGTATAATACAGGGAACATAATAAAGTCCTGGAACTGAATGAAAAATAAGCTCCAAAATATACAGAAAATTACTGATTCTAGAACTATGTTCTTCCATCATTAGCCCAAAGAGCAGAGGGGGAAATGGGTGATTTTAAGGACCAGGTTTGTAAAAGTGGGATGAAGTTCACTGATGCAAACTTCCAGGTCCTTATTAGAACAACATTGATACAACTGGCTTTGTACCAATACATTTAAGCACTTGTAGTTTGGAAGTAATGTAGGAAGATGAAGACACAATTGGTCATAAATTTAGAATCAGAACATATGAAATGAGAAGATGAAAATTTGAGGCAGAATCTTCCTAGTGGCAGTAGAAAGGACAAGGCTCCACATGAGAACACAAAGCAGACTGTGTGATGTGGTCAAGTGGCATAGAAGAGAATCAACAGTGCAGTGGAGGGTTTTTTTTCAGGCTAGATCCTGCATTTCCAAGTTCCTACAATATTTTGTTATCAGGGGATCTGAAAGGAACTGGGCACATGTGGAATTGGTACATCCACATGGCAAGGGATATCTCCACCATCTTCTCAGCCTTTGCAGTGATAAGAGATGGCCACCTAGCTACAAAAGCTAGCAGCCCAGTCCAGATGAAACAGGCTATGAGAAACACGCATATTAATTTCTGTCATGTTTTTATCATAGGAAATAATCCTGAGAAGTATTTAAGGCATAAGCCAGGGTGGGAGAGTCATGGCACTGTGGTCACATTGGAAATAAGACATCTCTGGGGGTGGGAGAGTTCCTGGAAGAGGGCTGCTAAGGATGCCATGTACATGTGTTGTTACGAGTGCGCCTCAAGAAAGACAGGATTTGTTTTGCTTCTAGCTAGTTTTATGGATTTTCTTTCCTTGCTAAATATATTTCACGTTCAACTGTATTGCAAAGTATTCCCACATGTGGTAGCTTGGTGTTTGGTGAGGAATTACCAATATTACATGTATTGCTATATGGTTGCTACTGACTTGGAGTTGCTTTAAGGGAATAGCATTCCTTTGCAGAGGATAACTGCACTAAGTTTTTGTTAAGGGAATAGCATTCCTTTGCAGAGGATAACTGCACGACGTTTTTGGACAGTAAGTCAAAGTTTAATGAATGAATGCTGTAAGTTGGCTCCACAGGTAGAACAGAGCAGCTGGTGGCAACTGGAGTTTCAGGCAGGAACAGGAGAGTGATGCAGTTACTCAGAGCTTTAGGTAGGACATAATTATTCACTTTGGAGTCTGGCCAGGGCAGTGGGGTTAAAACGACTTCTCTTAAGCAAAGTGTCTCAGACTCATTAATTTTCAGAGGAGTTCAAGACCTGTGTCATATTTCCATGAACGTGTAGCCCCTCCACGAGCAGAATATTCTGACACTCTATTGCTACTGAAGTAAAAAAGATATTTAAAAAGGAAAACAAGAATGAGTTGATGTCTGTATTGGGATTATTGAGTATATACTCAGAGCAGATAATTTCTGCTTTTAATGAAAAGTTGTCTATACTAGCATGAATAGAGAGATATTAAATATATTGGGGGAACCTAGCAACAAATTAATCAAGAAGTTGCAAACATGGTTGTTACCAAATATGACAGGAATTTTAGTGCTAATACATGCAAAGTCCTAAATCCAGAAAATAAATAAATAGTACAGATAATATATTAGAGGGATTTACCCAACTCCCACACCTTTTAAGGCACATTTGCTTTTATTCATACTCTTCCATCATAAATTCTTTCATTTAATGGTGTGATGTGGATGCTGCAAATTCAATCAGGATTCAGAGAGTAATAGAAGACACCTCTGATTTTCTAAAGTGCTGGATAGTTTACAACTGTGCTCGAGTGAAAGAGAGCTGCTGGTGCACAGATCCGCTGTAAATAAGGCAATCACTGACACAGAAGAGTTTGGGATAAATTACCTCTATTCACCCTCAAGTTTCGAAGCAGAGACTGGTACATGTGAGATCACTACATGCATTCATGATAATGATGCAGAGGTGGCAGTGCTTTGCCAGCTGTATTCAACTGAAACGTAAGCTACTTGGCAAGTCACTATGCCAATGAAGTGAAGAAAAACCCAGCAAGTCAGACTAGGCCAGTTCTTTTAATAAATTACATTTGCACTGCAGAAGGAGAACACTGGGTCTGTAAGGAAAGTAAGGTTGCTGCTGAAAAGGGGAACAAAAGGCTGTTTACTCACAGTAGTCATTCCAGGAAAGCAATAGAAATGTCAGCAGAAACGATCATTAAATCTCACCTACACAATGAAAATACCACACCTCCCCTATATATGCTGACATTAAGGAGAGTGGGGAAGAATGGGGTCTGAGGAGCTCTATATGTTTGCATCATTTATGAAGTCCAGGTTGTTACAAGATACGTGCAGCATGAAAATGAATTTAAATGGTGAGAACACAGACCTCAACTACCCTCCTCCTGTATTTAGGGAATCTGTTGCTTGAGTTACTGAGTAGGCCCAATGCCAGAGGAAGAAGTAGTACAGTTTAAACTTCTTTAATTAACTGTAGTGTAAAAGACTCTTCATGGTAGACTGCATTGAGATTTATGCTCAGAGTGGGGAAGAATGGGGTCTGAGGAGCTCTATATGTTTGCATCATTTATGAAGTCCAGGTTGTTACAAGATACGTGCAGCATGAAAATGAATTTAAATGGTGAGAACACAGACCTCAACTACCCTCCTCCTGTATTTAGGGAATCTGTTGCTTGAGTTACTGAGTAGGCCCAATGCCAGAGGAAGGAGAAGTAGTACAGTTTAAACTTCTTTAATTAACTGTAGTGTGAAAGACTCTTCATGGTAGACTGTGTTGAGATTTATGCTCAGTATTTCTAAAGCTGCTGCTCCAAAAGACGGAAGGTCTGAGGATGGAAACGGCGCCTACACATAAAATTGTCCAGTGACAGGCTGTGCTATGCCAGTGATGTCAGTCCTAGGATTCCCAAAGAAAGCAAAACCTGTGTTAGGGTTAAAAAAATCAGCCAGGTGTGAATATTGTGAAATCATTAAAAGATACCAAGCCGACACTAAAATAGGAGGTATCAGTAACATGCTTTGTGAAGGTGTTCAGTGTAGCCTTTATGGAAGAGAAAAAAACAGAAGGTAACTCACTAAGACTTTGCAGATAGTGCACATAAAAGTTAAATCTCTTACCTTCTAAACCAGTGTCCTACACTTTTGATGACTTTTCTGGCCATCTAAATCATGGGATCGCTCTGATGGTTGCCAGTGACCGTTGTTTTGGAAAGGGTGATAAGAGTTTTACACAGAAAAAAGCCTGTCTCAGATTCCAGCATAAAAGCTTCTTTGAGAGCAAGAGAACTGACAGCCACGTTCTTCCTGACAGCCAGACTTTCCTAACTTTTTCAATTTAATGCAGCAATTAAATAATCCATAAATAAGCAGGCTCATATCTCATTGCAGTTCAAAGGCTGCAATGAAAATTACAGATTTAAGTACTGCTTATACTACATGGATGAGAATATCAATTGACACAGTGAGATGAGCACTGGAAGCTGCCCAAGCTGTATTCAGTGCAACTCCTGGGATGGGTGACTGTAAGTCACGTTTCAGATTCTTTGATGTGTTGGGCTGTTCGCTGCACAAGATATAAATCTGTATAATGAATCAGTCAGCTACTAATTAAAGTGTCTGAGGAGCTGGGCATTTCGAGGATATAGAATTTTCTTGACTACTTCAACTTTCCCTCACTCTTACATTCTTTAAGTATTTATTTGCATGGAAGAGCTCAAGACTATCCATGATAAGCCAGGCTATGCATCCATCCAGACCAGGACACATCTCCAGCAGCATCCACAGAGACATAAAAACAGACTGGGTGTATAGTGAAGTTTTCCTACAACAGTTTTGCCATATATTCATTATTTGCTGGCTTACCATAATGAGTTGATCCCATTTTACTCCAGGTACTGGTGGAAAGCAGGCACAGGGGTCTCAAGGCCTTCTACAGTTATCTGGAGAAACCCTTTTCCTTCAGTTCAATTTCTCAACACGTTACCCAGAAACATGTAAAATATCAGATCAAATGGGCTCCTTCCTCATATAAATGGGTATAAATTGCCATAATCAATACATTTATAGTTGTGTGGAGTCACTGTAGTCAGCGATAGGACAAGAACTAAGCTGTAGGACAAAGTGTGTTCGTAGGTACTGAGTAATCTGAAGCAATCCTGCTGGGGACTGGAGTACCCCAAGTCTGGTTGCTATATTTTGGGATCTATGCTGCTAAACTCAAATTTAGAGTCAATTCAGATTGTATATTGCATTGTATTGGTCTCCCTCCTGTTTGCTTTTAGTTGAGATAGTGCATTTTCTGACCAGATGAGAAGTAGGAGGGAGTAACCCAGCCTCTTGTCTGAAATTTCTCTCATCCGACCTAATTTACCAGTGGTATTTCAACCTAATCTCGAGTACAGTTCGGTCATTAAACTTTGAATCACCCCAGGGATTAAACAGAGCCCTGGTTCCTTGCACAAATGACTCGGTGCACCGATAATCTCCCATTTCCATGGCTGACACACTGTCAGAGCGCTGTAATTCTGGGTTTTTTTGAGCACTGTACGGCATTCACCGTGCAGCCTTGTCAGGAAATAATATTTGGGCAGCGAAGCCTTTCCCGAGACTGTTTTGAGAGCTTTATGTGTCACGGTGGGCTTTTAGAAGATGTCTCCGTAACGGAAGGCAGGTGTGCAGTTTTTCATCTTCCCTCTGGCTGTTTCATACACGCCACTTGATTGCTGGTGTCGCGAGAGCCATCCTGCTGGCACTTCAGCAGGCCTTTCTCACAGTCATTAAATAATGTTGTTCTCCCCTGTGTTATGGATATGTGAGAGGTAGCACTCGGAGCTACGCTGCATTCTCTGTCCCTTCTCATTACATCCGCGTGTGGGGAATTGCATGAAAGATTGACATGACAGTTTTAATGGTATCGCTGCAAAAAGATCAATTGGTTGTAAATTCTACAGTCTCCATGTGCTGCATTGATAACTCCGTACAGTATTAAACGCTTGCATGACACAATTAATCTTGTATGATACTTCTGAGCTTAATTCAGCTGTGATAGTTTCTGTGATCAGCCACAAATCAGTAGTGATTGATTCTGAAATATCCACTAATTAAAACAGAGGAACACTGCAAAAAAAAAATAAATATATATATATTGCCTACATATACATGCTGAAGACAAATGTGCAAGAGCCAAAGTCTAGTGTGATATTAGCTTCTTAGTTTTAATAAATCTCCTCATGCAGAATTCAGAAGCAGATATTTTTCTAGTCTTTGAGACTGATGGGACCCCAGCAAGAAAATAGGCTTGTCAGAAGGTTTGTCTCAGGAATTTATCATGAAAGTTGAGTTTTTCTCTCTTGCAAATCTTCAAGGGTTCAAAACACTCAAAGTTATGCATTGAGGGGAAAATGGAAGTTTTCCATGTTTTTCACTATGAACAAAAGTGAAAGAAAACAGCACGGAGGAACCCAGAAGCCCTGGCTGCCTGTAGTTCAAACACTTGTTAGAGATGGAGGACACGGGGGTTCAGTTGCTGCTTCCCCCATTGCAGACCCAAGGCAGAGGTCTGGGCCATGCGTTGAAGATAAATGCCTGTGCTGCCAGCTAATGACACCAAGACCATGATTTTTCACTGTCTCCTGGTGGGACTGACTATATTCTTTTGTATAATTCTGTAATTGCTGGCTACAGAAATTGACTGAGAAGACCAGTGGTTATGGCACCCACCTAGGATATTGGAGACCCAGATTTAGTTGTGCCAAATGAGCCAGAAAATGGGTTTGAACAAGGGTTTCCAATGTCCTAGATGAGTGATCTCACTATTAGTCTGTGTGCTGGTCCCCTTGGTTTAGTCAGAAATCTCTAATCCTTCACCTGATCCAGCTTTCTTAGAGTTTTGTTGAGAATGATGTGCTTTTGGGAATAAGTAAGCTTTAGATCAACAAATTGGCTTTTTCCTACTGGAAAGTGTTCTACTTCTCCGGCAGTCAGCAGATGTATTTTCCAGGGCTCAAAGACTATAGGTTATTGAATGTACTGGATTTGAAAATATAATTCCCTTTGTTATCTGAAATTTCACCTACAGGGTGGGTAATGCTCATTAGCTCCACTTTGCCTCTCCTAAGAATTCATAATGTGTTAATAATCCTGCTGGAGATAAAAATCTATGCACAATCTGCATTCAGGCAATCAGCATTACAGTGGTTGTTTCTTTTTATGTTTACTAATCCCACAATGTACAAAGTCTTCTCAGGGGCCTGACCCTGCATTTCTCACCCGCCTCCTTTGGTTTGACTCCTGCAATGTGACACTGCAGCTATCCTGGGGAGCCACCAGTGTTTTAAATTGTTTATTCACTATCAGACTTCCCTGTTATGACTTGAACATCGAGATGGCAGTGTTTGCTGTGCCAGTTTATTCTGCTCAGCAAGGATGCTTTCATTCCTTTGCTCTTTAATTGCTGTTAATTTTGCTGTTTAATGCAGTTGCCTGAACTGAAACTTTCGCTAGTTTGAACTTGCCTTGAAATGAAAGCAGAAGACAGCGTCCGCCCTGAAACTGCCTTAGCTAAATTCGTTTAAGGAGTGGTTACATTTTGCAGACTGATTTCTCTGCAGTAATCTCAGAGCTGCAGCCTCCCAGCCCTGGGTTTGGTGTGGGCTCCAGCCCAGCTCTGCTTCCCCTCTTCTTGGATGGGCTCCGGAGGCATTTTGGGCTGCCAAGGCTGGCCAGGATGCCCAGGTTTGCCAAACCTGGTTCAGGTTTTGAACAGTCTGCTGGCATCAGTGCCGATGCTCTGGGTGATTAAACAAGTCCTTGATCCCTTCATTATTTAATCTATATTAAAGCCCAAATCGTGCAGCCCATGTGCAGCCCTGAGTGTCCTCCTGTGCACGTTCTGCCGCAGCATCCTGAAGGACAAGCTTGCTGAGAACGTCTGCAGCTCTGCACAGCAGAGGTTTTACCCCCGAGGGGATGAGGAGGCAATGCAGTCTTTAAACCAGACTTCAGCTTCATCCAGTTCTGGGGACGGATAAGAATTGGGACAGCTCCAGGCACAAGGCGGAATAGCTGCCTCATGTCTATCCTCACCTGCATTGACTTGCTGTGGCTTCTTGGGAAGTACTTTTTAGCCAAGATTTCCCAGAACTTACTGCACTCCCAGACTGGTTTCTGATCTCCCAGGAGTACCCTGGGACCCATTGGTGCACAGTCCTCTACTCCCGTCTTAGCCTCAGGCTGTTGTTCTGTGTGGCTTTAAGTTGTCCCTTCCAGACAGCACAGAGGAGCTACAGAAAGTGTTTAAAAATAAATGCATTAAAATAAGGCCTAAGCAAAGCTCCTGGACAAGTGTTAAACATCACCTTTCGGTTGCCTGGCTTTCAATACAACAGGTTGGACACTTCATGAATGAGGAATGCTAGCAGAGATTTCATACTCATAGTAAAATGCATTATTACTCTATATCACTTTGTAAATAATAGTAGTAACTAAAGGCAGAGAATGCAAAGGATGGTGTTAAGGTAAAAATTTTATTAAGAACTATATTAAGAAGGAAGCAAAGGGCAAAATTGCAAAAGGTAGCAATAAAATAGAAACTTCCTTGCTTTTCTACAGGTGTACCAAAATTCCCCAAAGAAAAAATTGAGCCCCTTGATGTGGAGCATGGTGATTCTGTGATTTTGCACTGTAACCCCCCAAAAGGCATCCCACCTTTGCATATCTATTGGATGAATATTGGTGAGTAAACAATTTTTACACAATTCATGTGAGGAAACTCAAAACATTTGTCTTCCAGAGCAGTTTCATTACAGATTCATAATTGATGAGAATGGTAATTGTGCAAGTGCTTAGGAAAAAGATCTGGATATTGAAAAACAAAATTGAAAAATGGAGAATGGAGATATGTTTTTACATAACACAAAGTTAAATTGTAAAGTGTGTTGACACAACACATGATTAAACATGAGATATCAGAAAGCTTACATATCAGGAAATGAGTCTACCAGTAATGAGGACTACTGCATTTACAGCAGAGAGGATAAAATGCATCAATATATTATTTCGATCATCACTATTTTCCTCTTTTCATAAACTAATGGTTGATTTATGATACTAAGGAAAAAAATAATCTGTCAGGTATGTATAATTAATTCCTTGCGGGTTTCTGTCGTGTTGTTCTTCAGCTGTGTGTTCTGCAGGGGTTTCTGGCTCTTGGGAGGCAGAGTAACTGTGGTTACCTCCATGACATGACAGGTTGGTTTCTGATGCTGACCAAGAACTTGCAGAGACAGGGTGCCAGATGAAACCTCTGATCTTATACGGCAGCCTCTCGACTCCTGACACACGTATTTAGCACAGACCTGTGTTTGGCTGCATCAAGAAGGAGACAGTGCAGCAGCCGTAGTTCATCCCAACACTCCCCTGCTTTAATCTGTATCTACAGAAAAGCCAAGTGCTCGGGAGACTGGCCGTGGGGGACATCTGTAAATGGTGACCTCCATGTCATCATTACAGGCCTTTTTATCAGGGAGAGGTGCTGGAAATTGCCTTTGACCAGAACAGAAACTTTGCACTGAGTATTTCTAATTATCAATATTTTTCTTATGTATAAACATATTATTATACATCAAAAATATTTATCATCCATTATAATATTGGTATATTGATATATAATATCATCCATTGAATATTGGTAAATAACCCATTGGTTATGCTGGGTCTTCTGCTTCTTTCTTGTCAAAGTTACATTCTCTATCTGGAAGCCAACATATGACAGGAGAGCATTAGTAGTCATATTGGTGAAACAGCTCTGTATCATTACCATATCATAATTATTTTTTCTTGCTAGATTTGCAGCACATTCCGCAAGATGAAAGGGTCTCCATGAGCCTTAAGGGAGATCTCTACTTTGCAAACGTGGAAGAAAATGACAGTCGAAGTGATTATTGTTGCTTTGCAGCGTTTCCAAGACTGAGGACGATTGTTCAGAAAATGCCAATGACGCTGAAGGTTTCCCGTTGTAAGTCTGTGGATGAGCAGTTTCTTGGTTTCTGTTGGTTTGTTTTTTTCTCTTTTTTAGCTCCCTAGGCATCAGCGAATGCAGATGTGTGCCCTGTGTCTCTGATGTGATTCTCTCTGAAGAAAATGCATGTTACTGAGCTTATTCCTGCATTATTAACCTTACTCTAAGGGCTAAACTCAACTGATAAAAGCTTTTTGCAGCTGCTGGGTCCCAAAAAACGCCCCATTTTTCCTCCCTTTCTCCGCCTGGTGAAAGCTAATGATGCATTAGGAAAATGTGCTTCTCTTGCAGTCCAGTGGGTCACTGGGTCTTGAGGACTTTCTGTGGCCACCTCCTCCCTGGGTGCAGGCCTGGTTTGGTCAGGGTGATGTTAGGGAACTGCTTAGAGCTTCTCACTCTCCTCCTGCCAAGGAGTGGTGAGGGAACTGTGCCCAAGGCTCTGCTGTGGAGACTTCTTTGCCTTTGCCTTTACCATGTGTTAAGATAAAGGAGGCACCACTGGCCCTTCTTTCTTCAAGGAGAAAATGGGCTGGTGTTTAGCAGCAAGCCCTCTAGACCCATTTTTGGATCTCCCCAGCAGTGACTTCTGTGGTGGTCCAAGACAGCAGGACAGGCAGCCAGGGCTTTCCAGGTCTTTGCGAGCTGCCTTGAGCATCAGTAGTGACACAAGAGGTGTTTTCCATTTCATTATAGAAGTGTCCTGTAGGGAACATCAGGTTTTATTTATTTATTTATTTATTTATTCATTTACTTAAACATCTCTGTATTCCTGTAGTCTCCAAGGGTTTTGTACAAAAGATGGTTTCAGGTACTGCCCCTGCATTCTCACCGGGGTGTGTGGGCTTTGCTGTCCCATGAATGCAAGGGGTGTACGGTAGCAGGGTTAGAAACAGAGGAAAAGAATACAAATATCCAAGAAAAAAATGCAAACCAAACCCAAACAACAGCCTTCTAGGGCACGCTCTCAGCTGCATTAAATCAGCAAAGCCTGACAGAAGCCACTGGAACTAAGGCAGCTTATACCAGCTGGAGATACATCCTGCTTTGCTTGAATCTCTTTTGGCTGTAATAGTTTCTGGTATCACTTGTACCACTCGCTGAGGCTGCCTGTGCCCTTAATATCAGTCTTCTGTTTTGCTAATACTTCTGACCTTTCGGGCTTATGCAGCCCAGAAAGCCAAGGAGATTTTTCTTCATGAATGAAAACCCAATATTTAATATATGATTTTGAGAGTTTTGCTGTTGGGATAAAAAGATAAAGGATTAATAGTGGCTTTGTGTATCTTAATACTTGCTTAAACCATATCTTGGGGTAATAATGGTGAGAAAAATATCAAAATGAAATGTTGCTCTCCATAGCTTGAGACTTCCCACTCCTTCCCGTACCGAGTCCCTGTTGAGGGACTGTGTAAAAAAACCTACATGTGAAAATTTAGACAATCAGAAAAAAATAGAGACTGGATAAATTTAATAAAATTTCTTTATAGTGGATACTTAGGGTTTAGTGATTTTTTTATTACACTAGGTAGCTAGGGTGAAATGATGATTATATCAGTCATGAAGTATTTTGCAGAATAATACATATCTTTAAAGGATTCTTGTTTGTATTTTCAGATATTCATTGTTCATCTGTTGCTTTATATTTTTTGGTTTTTTTCTTTCTCTTATGGCAGAAATTGGGGGCATTGTTTTGTTTTGCTTGATTTATTGTTTCTTTTGATTCTGTATCAACTGTGCATGTTTGTGTTTGGTTGTCACTTTTATTTATTTCAGTTAAGCATGCTAATGACTCAGGCTCACCTAACGCTGCAGTTACTAAGGGTGAGTTGAATGCATTTGTTATTTAGCCTTTAAACTAAGAATCTACCAGCTGAGATGAAATGTGAGCTGCTGCTAAGGAAAAAGGAAAAAAAAAATAATCACAAAAGCCTTTTTATTGCATTAGGATGGATTTAAGTGATCCGTGGAGTACAATTTGCTCATCTTGTACTTTCTGACAGAAATCTGAAAGGTTTTCAACAAAGAGGTAGTTTTCCTACTCAAGAAAATAACATTCACCTTTCATAATGTGATGTGAGTAAGGAGGCTGAGGTCCTGGGTGTCTCGTGTTATCAGTTCAGAGCAGGAGCCTGAGCTTGGATGCTCCAGGTCTCCCTCTGGCAGTCAAGAAGATGCTGGCGTTAGGTACCGACAGTTTGAAACCCCCAATTCATGTCTAAAGGGTTGCCTTACTCCAGGGTGAGCTGAAGGTGAGGATTTACAGAGCTTTAGGTGCTCTGTGTTGATTGTCCCCTGTTCCTAGGGGTAGACAGGAGGTGGTTCTCTTCGGCCATGTGTTGCCCTGTCTGATACTCACCACAATAAAGCGCTTCTTGTCCTGGGGATCCCCATCTTCCCTCGCTTTGTGTCCCCCTCTTGGTGGAGCAGCATCGTGCAAATATTCTGCTGAGGTTTATGTAGACAATGTGGAGAAGTCAGAAGGCAGCTAGAAGCTATTTCTGCAGCTCTCCACCCAGTTAATTTTGTTTAAGATATTAAAAAATGAGAGTCCATTTTTGCATGTAGCTCTTGACTCTGATTTATTTGATTAAATCACTTCTGAAAGCCTCTTCTTTGAGATGCCCAGCTTGAAACTCTTGAAAGACGTAATTTTGCTGCACAAGCACTGAAGTTTTTGAAAAGTGGTTCCTCCTCAAGTGTTTTGGGATGGAGAGCTCGAAGTGCTGCTCAGTCCTCAAGCCTTGGCCCGTGGAGGCTGAGCACTGTGAGCAGAACAAGGAGGGCTTGTGCGGAGTCACAGCTACTCAAAACCTGATTTTTTTTCCCTTGGAGAGATGTCTGAACTCCTGTCACTGCTGGGGAAGGGGGGACGGCCTGCCTTTGGCAGGGGGAGGTGGAGGGCAGATGGAAAACGTGCGAGCGTATCCAGAGGCACCAAAGTGTTGTGCTGCAGCTCTGAGCACTCGTGACACAGATTTGGAGAAGTACAAAGCAAGGGGAGGAAAAAAAAAAAAAAATAGAAAATGGTTCAGAGAGATGCATGTGGTCTTTTACCAAATCATCCGTAACTGACTATTTTTGAAGAACTAGTACCATTTGGGGACTTATTCATTACTGTGCTAATTGTTATTATAGAGATAGCTGGGTAGCCGTTTAACTCTGTGCATATTTCATCATGAAACCGTTGTTTGGCAGCCTGGAACAAATGGTCCGTTGAAATCAAATGCAGGACAATCTTGTTTTATTATTTTAACAGTCTTCCTTACAAATTGTATCTCCATTACTGTAGATTTAATAATTGTAGCAAGAAGGATAATTCTGTGGGATATCCAAGTCAGGAAAGATGAGGTTTCATCTGAGATGCAAAAAGGTGATGGATCAATGCAGAAGAGAGGTGCTGAGAAAGGTGGTGCCCACTAGAAGATCAGCAATGGAGAAGACCAATGTAGCAAGAGTGGCTGAGGAAGATGAGAGAAAGGGCACGTGCATGGGAAACATGAAACCACAGGGACAGAGCTTTCACCAGTACTGCTGCCTGTGGTTATTGCTGTAGCCATCTTCTCTCTGTGAGCAGGAGAAACAGGAGAGTCCTGGATTGGTCTCAAACCATATAAATAAAAACCAAAATTTACAAATTGATGTCTGAAGCCTTCTGACAGAAGAAATGTTTGTGGCATTATTGAAAGATAAGCAAAGGTGCTAAGATTTTATATCTAACTTTTCTCTTATTTATTTTATTTTTTAGCAAATTTCATCAAGGAGAGAAAACCCAAACTGCTGATCCCTCCTGAATCTGCTGGCAGTAGCTCATCAGTCACTGTCATCAAGGGAGGTGTCCTGCTCCTCGAATGTATTGCTGAAGGGCTGTGAGTAATGCACAATACTGCACAAACTTAATCAGCTTTTGAAATAGAATTGAGCAAAGAAAAAGCTATATTAAAAATTATACAACTGCAAATGAATATACCTACCTGCCCAAACAATTTTAAATTGAACTTATATGCAGATTTTTTCTAAATTATGCATGCTTCTCGTAAAGCAGCACAGAGCTAGTATGCAACATTCATGTGTTTGTTATTGCTGTAGCTTATAAAGAAGCAATTAAAATCATATCATGGTAAGTACTGATTTATATTTCTTTTAGTATTATATTTAAAAAAAAAAAAAACTATTATGGAACTTTTTTCAGTAATCTTACTTTTGAAATACAAAGAAATGAAACAACCTCAGAATTCAGCTTCTGCGGTTTGGCTCACACCCTGTAGTGTCTCTTTTCTAGTTTTGCCAATTCAGTTTTGGCTCAACACTCAAAAAGTACTCGGGATTTTTCCTAAGATCTCAGGTTTGTTCCCCAGCATCTAGAATTTCCATACAAAGGATGTTCTTTCCATCATGTTCTCAATGACAGCAGTATGTGAAGAAACAGAGTCCACAACTATGTAAAAATATAATGAACCGAAGGCAGCCGTATTGATTTGACCCTGCTAAAACTAACAGGAATGGGCTAATTTCAGATTTAGTCCCAGTCCCGTGTTTCCTGCTTGGGCCTGTTCCTGTGGATGCCTCTGGTGCTTTGTGCTGCGCGGGTGTCCCAAGCTTGTTATTGCTATTAGCATTTAGGTTAGAGCACTACTCAAGCTCTACCCATGGATCTGGCTGTACAGAGCATAGCAGAGTATCTCAGTGAGGAGCTGCTGACTGTAATAATAAAGGGAAGAGTTAAAGTAGATGGTATTTGATGGGAAATCAGGACAATTTTTTCCCTTATTGTAAATAACACAGGACAGAACAAGGGTAAGGAAGGAAAGGGAATGGCTAAATGAATGTTAAGTGCAGTCCCCACAATGAAGCTGTGAATGCCTCTCTCAGATCTTGTTCCTGCTGCAGCAACTCAGACAGACATAAGCCCCACCTGGCCCTCGGTCCAATTTTCCAATTTTTACTGTGTGCTTGTAGATGCAATAATCTGCCGCAGAAGAGCTGCCACTAGAGAAATAGGTAAAGCAAAAATCTCTCCAACCACTAAACCCACAAAGAAAGCACAGTCATGTCTGGTTTATCTCTGATAGAGCTTTCTGTTGAACGGAGACTTAAATCATTGTCTTCTTGTGCTGTACGGTAGAGCTGCAGGTCTGTGAAGGCAGACTGTGGTGAGCAGATAGATAACTCATATTAAAGGCTGTGCAATTATATCCCCTCTATAAAATTCCAAAATCAGGGTATTTATCTGCCTGAACAAACATGTTTAGGGTGTTTTGGTTTTCCATGCGGGCTTGAAAGGGCATTGCTCATTTGAGCTGGCAAGATTGTGCCTCTGCAGTTGGTTGCCATTTCTGAGAGAGGGTGAATTACTTGTCTCTGTTGGATTCACTCCAAGTATCTGCAGAGAGTTTTGGTTCCCTGTTGCAACACTTCCTTGTCTAATTCACTCCCCATCAAGCTAATTCACAGGCGCACAAACCTCCACAAGTCCAGAGCTATGAGTTTATAGTGTTTTCAAGGTACTAAATAAGGCAAATCACCTTGGAAATATGCAAATGCAAATTTTCGTGTGCGAGGATTAATATCATGTACAAGAGGAGAAAGACGAAAAGGGACAGTGTTTATTTGGAAAAAAAGTTTTTAAAAGGTTATATTTTTGTTTCATTCAAAATTTTCCAAGAAAAATTTTCTACATTATTTTTTGAAGAGAAAGGGTGAGGTTGTTTTTTTTTTTAAAGTAGTCACTTTTGAAAGAAGACAAAGTACTTCTTTCTTTGATCACCAAACAAACCTTTTTCACTGAAACTCTTCAAAAAAAGGCAAGTTAGAGCAAACCAAATGATATTTTTATTTGTTAAAATTCCCATTTTCAGCAGAAAATTTATCAGCTTTGCCTATATCTCTGCCAATCCATCCCACCAAATGTCCACAAACCAGGGAAGCGGATAGACTGAGCCAGATTTCAAGTAACTTAGATCAGGGGCAGCCAACTGCAAATAAGGAATTAAGTACATATCCAATCTGTCATTTTTGAAGATTTATAATCCGAGCAATGACAGTGTCAGGAGGGCATTGCCTCAATACAACACCACGGCAGCACAAGTGTCTGACTTTGGTACAGGAGCAGGACAAGGACTCTTGCAGGAAATAATTGGATATTTGCACAGTTGTGCTCACTGCTCGTGGAAAACCGTAATTTCTTGGTACCTGGGGCTTTGAGTAGCTTGTGCCCGGGCATTTTGCCACAATAACAGATGGACACGAGAGTAAGCAGATATGACACTGTGTATGTGCGTCGTGTACGGTGTCGGGGTCGCGAAGCCCAGCTGGGAATGTGCAGACAACAGTCTGTCCCGAATTTCTGTGTCGCTGCCATTTGCTTTCTAAAAACGTGTAAGGAGCATTTTCAGCCATCTCCAATGGTTGGCCACCATTCTAACCAGGCAGGGCACTGAGTGAAGTCACTGTAATAAAGTCTTTACCTCCTTGTCTGTCCTCAGGTGCCCTTTTGGAGTAGGAAGGAATGAGCTCTGCTCCCTCTCCCACAGCCCATGCCAATACGTGGACAAGGAATGCAGCCTCCTGCCATGGCCTGGTGTTGGCTGTGAAGAACCTATTCATAGGGAGCCTTCAAATCAAGATTAATTATAGACTAGTTGTAGTTTGTACTATAACCCATACTGTAGCCCCAGTGCTTTAAAAGGGCTCAAATGACTGAAAACTTAGCATAGACATGGTTTAGTGGTAGGTTAATGGTTGGACTTGATCATCTTAAAGGTCTCTTCCCACCATAATGATTGGATGACTGTACGAAGTCTATGCTAACATGAAACAATACAGCAGCCTAGTATTCATTCAACTCAAAACAATTTTTATTTTTTGTTTCCTTTTCTCTTAGCCCAACTCCTCATCTAAGCTGGGTCAAGCTCACTGGGAACTTGCCCAAGGACGAACCAGAAACAGAAAATTTTGGGAAGATATTGAAGATAGAGCAAGTGACTGCAGCCGATGAAGGAACATACCAGTGCACGGCAAGCAACCCCATGGGGAGAGCCAAGCACGAGTTCCACGTTCACGTGGAAGGTGCTGAGTACACTTTACTAAACTTACTGGTTTTGAACAGAGAGGTGGTCAAAGGGTAGTGAATAGGGACCTTTACTAATATCACTTGGTGTAATGCATAAATTCAACCAACTCTATCAATTTATGCTAGCCAAGGATCCACCTTATAGTTTTGGGAAGCTTGTGTAGAGTAACACCTTTTTAAAGAAAGAAAGAGAAAGAAAGAATGCATTTTTTTCCCTGAACCATGAAGGCTCTGCACAGTGGTGAACAGGAGCATAAATATGTGAGCAGATCCAATCCTCCAAAGATGCTAGGCAAGCAGAGATATTGATAAAATGTCTTGCGTTAATCTGAATGTCAGACCAAAAGATCTAATTATTCTGCTTGCTCTTAAAGAGTGTGAAAATGGCTATACTGGGTCAGAGCAGAGGTACATTTAGCTCAATTTCCTTTCTTTGGCTTCCATCAAAAGTCAGTGCCTAGGGAGGACTGTGAAAATGGAGTGAGCAAACATGGTACCACCCCTCTCTTCCCCTCCTTCACGTGAGCTCTTGCTATCATAGAATCATAGAATGGTTTGGGTTGGAAGGGACCTCAAGGATCATGGAGTTCCAACCCCCCTGCCCTGGGCAGGGACACCTCCCACTAGAGCAGGTTGCTCAAGGCCACATCCAGCCTGGCCTTGAACACTTCCAGGGATGGGGCATCCACAACTTCCACAACTATCATTTTTGTATAGGGACAACCTGAGCTAAGAGTGGTTTCTACAGCCCCTGCATCCCTTTCTCTCTTCTCCTAACCCCCAGATCCTGAAGGTGTGAGCCCTTCACACGAGGTAGGGGCAGAAGCTCCTTCCAGGAGCAGAGCAGAACTCCAGTGCGATTCAGGAGAGATGAAGGAGCCCTGCAGAACCATCTCTGCCGCTGCAGCTCTTTCAGCGATGCTGCCCACAAATAGCTGCTAAATGAGAATCCTGAAGCACAGCTGAAAAACTGGCTGAAAACATTTTCTCTTTACTGATGAAAAATGCACCAGCCTCTGCTCTGCAGCGTTAAAAAAAAATAAAAATCCCAGGCAGTATTAAACTGTCGGAGTCTGCCAACTGCTTCATTTTTATCTGGGCTTCTTCTCAGTCTGTGGTCACAGGGAGCAAAGGGGCTTTCAGCTACCTGCTCTGTATTTACTCCTCAGCTGAGGAAAAGCCTTTTCTCCCAGTCTGTGATGAATCATCCCCATTCGCTTGACACAACCTTGTGTCTTGCAGTCTTCTTTCTCTTCCTGGAAGTGTGGCAGAGGGGGGGTACCAGGGCATGGCAAGTCTTCAGCTGCGATGGAAGGGAAGTGCTGACTCCTAGAAATCGTTCCAGATGGTTTGGAGCATCTCTGCTGTAGCTGAATATTTTAACAATCTGGCTATGATTTTCTCGGCTGTAAAAATCGAATCCTTCAAAGAAATTGCAGGAGCTGCAAAAAAATAAAATACCAGAGAAGTAACATTAATTAAGCAGTTCAGAATATTGACCCCCTTTTTTCCCCCCGGTCTCTAGAGGGAGGAAAGCTTTCCGGCAAATTGTTGTTCCTGCTCATTAGCAAACAAGTACTTTAAGAAAAAAAAGGGGGGAAGGAAATAATCCCACCCTAGCCATTGCAACATAAAAAATGCTTTTGCCATTGTTATTTAATTCATTTTCTGTATGTGTAACTAATGTTGGCTGCTGTCACCAGCAGGAATACTTCCTATTAGGAGTCACCTCACAAGCAGGGTATCAAGGTAAAATTGAGCCCAAACACTGTCTTCTTCTAGGATTTCTAAACCAGCAAATGTCACTACCATTAATCAGAGATGGGCCTGTTCATCATTCTTGCAGCAGCTCCTGTGTGAGCACTCAAGGGCAGATCTCGAGTTGGTGGAAAGGAGCATTAATTTCAGTGGTTTCAGGGAGGTTATGCTGACGTAGGGCATCCTCGCACCTGACAGGCCCTTCTCAAAGGATGTAGGCAAGGAGAAGAAAATTAAAGATGGAAGAAAAATTATCATGGTTATTAACCGCCAACCATCCTCAATCTAGTGCTGGTCTATAAATCAGGGTTTTGCTGTCGTTTCTACACTGTGTCACATTTTCTGTTCTTCTTTCTGGTATTTGAGGATCTCAAACCAATATCCCAACCTTCTAAATAAGAGTCTTAATTAATGATATTTGCATGCAGCCCACTTACTAATCCTACAGTAGTCCGAGGGCAAAGATTCAGGCAATTATTTCCAAGCATATGAAAATATTCAGCTAGCAAATTGCTTGACTGTTTGAGCATTTTAATCTCTCTGTGCAAGGAAAGATGTAGCCTGGAACATTGGAAAAGGCACAAAATCCCCATTGTTGTTATCAGAATGAGAGAGATTTATTAAAAAAACAAAAAAAAACCCAAAATGATGCAAGGCCACAAATTGTCTTGACTTCAAATGTTTGTTTATTTGGTGATTGTATATAATCCCCCAAACCCAGCAGAAAATGTACATATAACCTCAAAATCTTGCCACTATCACAGCGCCTGATCTCGTGGTACCTTGATCTTGACTGAGGCTCCTAGGCTGTGTTTCATAGAAATAATTATTACAATATAATGATTAATTATAGTAATGATAAAATAGCTAAGGGCCTTTGCAGTTAAGTCTCGTAATACTTTCATTACTCAGCTAGAGAAAAATAAAATAGATGAAACTAATGTGAGGCAGAAATTTGCTGGTTATTTTAATCAGGCTCAAAGTGTAGTTCTGTGTTTCACTGGAAAACTGCTTCAATGGGGATGCAGACCCCAAGGTGGTGAGTGCAGCCAAAGCTGCCGATGATGCCCCCAAAGTGGGATGGATTGCCAGCCCTTGTGTAGACGTGAGGAGAATTTGAAATGATCTTGACAAATTGGGAAAATGGTCTGGAATAAAAAGGATGGGCTTCAGTAAGCACAAGTGCAAAGCAATTCTCATCGGGCAGCACTAATTGGCTTCATAAGCACAGGATGGAGAATGTCTGGTTAGACTAGTCTGGAGGATATACTGGATCACAAGCTGAACGCGGCTTGGAAATACCAGTCTTGCAGAAAAAGCAAAAATCATCCTGGAAAGTATAAAGAAAACTGTTGTAAGAGAGAACTGATAAGACTTCACAAAACGTAACCAGTTTTACATTGTGCAGCTCATCCAGGCTGGGGTTAACTCAAGACAGTTCAGGAGAAAGCAGCAAGAGTAGTCACAGGGCTCAAAAACATGGCATTTGAGCAAAGAAAAGAGATAGATATGTTTAATTTGGGAAAGACTAGATCTGGAGAATGCATAACAGCCTTCAGATGAACTGAAATTTCTTCACAAAGTTCCCTGGGGATAATGTAAGACATAATAGACTCAAATTGCAGCAAGGCAGAAGTTGGTTAGATGTTAGAAATTTGTTCTAGTCATGGGGAAGAGTGTAAGTGCTGCCGCTGACAGCATGAGAGACTGAGGGGAAGGTTTGGATCCATCGGGGGTGTTTTAGGTGTAGACGATCCTGCTCTGTCGCAGAAGGATGGACTAGATGCCCATTTTAAATCCCTTTTATTTTTGATCCTGCCGTTATATCTCCTTAAAGATACAAATCACTTAATCAGGACCCCCACATTTATGACTCTTACCAAGAAGAATATATTATGAAGTGAAATACTTGCCATACTATATTACTCACAGGGATTAACTATTTGACCATGCAACCACTTTTTTTTTTTTTTGTAGTTGCTAAAAAATGTGTATATTTTTTTATTCTTATCTTTTATATACTCATAAGTAATATAGCATGTCTGCCACACAGAAAAGAGTTTCTTCAGCCTTTCTGTGAAATTCTATTTCCTACTTGGCAAAATCTCATTGCCTGTGGCTTCACAGCTGCAGCATTTTCTTGGGGCAACCACAGCAATTCTCAGGCTGAGAAAGGAGAGCAGTGGTGTAGTGTGTCTGCAGCAAACTGTGTACACACAGCTGAAAATAGGAAGGGATCCATCAGGTGGTTTGTATTCAGTCTGTGCTTGGTATCTCACCTCCTCCAAAACAAGGAAACAGCCTGTCTCAAGCACTGTGTTCATGGCAGACCTAGAGGGGGAAAAAATAACCAAAACAAAACAACAAATTAGGGCTGTTACAAGCTTTTTCACCTCCATGCCTTTGACCTGTCTTTTCCTGATGAAAGCATTACGTATATGAGAGAGAGAGAGAAGGAAAATGGTCTGCAAAACCAAAATATTTTGATGCTTGCAGAGTTTTTTTCCTGGAGGCAGATAGAAGGAAGCATAACAAGTGTGGTCACGTCACACACCACACTCTGGGAGGGCAACCAGGGCTGCAGTCAGGAAGGAGGTGGAAGAAATCTCTACTATGTGAAGGAAATGCAAAGCTGTTTTCGTTTCAGATAAGCTTGAGTGTTTTGATTTTTACTGCAGTCTTTGGCTGTGACTTAACACTCTTCACAGGTGCTTTGCTGTGAAAATGGTGGACTTTGTGGAGAAGGTCTTGTGTATCACACTTCAGGGGTGTGGGGTTCTTTTGATATATCTGTGTGAATATGAGCAATAAGGCTTTGTTTTAGCATATCACACTGATAACATCTGGAGATGTATTACCAGGCAACAGCTCTGTTAATCTTCAAAGCGTTTTACGAGCATTAGCTAATGAATCCTCATGTTTCCCATACATTAGCTCATCTTTTTCAAATAGGGGAAGAGGCCCAGTGATCTACCCAGCACAGGCAGAAGAGGTAGTGTCAGATCTGGAATTAAAATTTGGAAGTTTGTTGCCTCTCAGGAAGAGATAATGATGAATTCAAGGCTGTGTTTTGGATTGATGCTGCTCACTGATGGGTAGGCAGAGAACAAAGCGTTCATCAGATTAATGCTTTTTCCCCCCCCTTAATTCCCTTTTCTCTCTTATGGTTGTGTTTTTTCAATGATGTTTGGGTACCTGATGCTCAGGGGCTGCTCTGCAGAGGAGAGGGTTTCCCCAGAGCTTCCCCAGTTTAGCTGGCAGTGCTGGGAAAGAGGAGAGCAGAGGGAATGCAGCAGCACACTGCTGCTCCTCTGCCACCACCCTGTGGACAGCCTTTCTGGAGCGCTCCTCAGGATGATGGTTCTCTCATTCCCGGTGGGGAAAGAAGGTTTCGTCATTCCTAAATATGTTACAGATCAGCCTCTGAGCTGAATACGTGATGGAAAACCAGAATATTGAAAATCATCATGCTTAGATGAGCAGATGGAGGTGCTGAACCCCGGTGTGGACCTTCGCTGCATCACCATACTCTGCCCTCCGGCCGCTCCTGGGCAAGTTGGTGGAAGCCATTTGCTCCTGCCTAGTGAGGGGGATTTGAGCTGGATGGATATTTGCATCTTGTTTGAGATGCTGAAACAGTCCCACCTCATTTTAGAGACCACAGTCTCCTGCCTGAGGGTGCGTGTGAAAATGCCAACCTCCTTGCCCAGCCTCTCACCTTCCATCTGCTCTGCAGTTGCTTTCCAGTTGGATAAACACTGCCCATTCCCTACACTCTCTCCCTGACACTCCACAAAGTCTGAAGGACGGGATTTAGTGGGTGCTAATGCTGATTTTACCTTTTGTAACATCACTTTGCAAGAAGTACAATACAGCTGCACAATAGGCTGTGAGGAGCTGGCTGGGAACTGTTGGCCACGTTTGCCATCTCCTGGAGGACCATAGCAATAGCAAGAGTTAGACATGTCCACGCTGTGGCACCTCATACCTGCTGTGTCCCCTCATTACAGAGCCTCCTCGGTGGATAAAGGAGCCCGAAGGTGGTGTTTACAGTGTGGGGACAAATCTTGTGCTGCTGTGTGAAGCCATCGGCAACCCAGAGCCAACCATTCAGTGGAAACTTAACGGGATGCCCATCGACAGTAAGTGCAAGGTCCAGGGTCCTCCTTTAGGTGGTGGCTGGGTGGGATGTAACTGTGTTGCACACAGTTAGAGGGAACACACAAATCGTAACGCATCGACTGATGGTTTGGCATCTATTTAGACATGAATTAATCTTTATTTATTAAAAAAAGCTAATGCTTGAATGCGATCTTGAAGAGAGTCCCTTCCCACCCAAACCTTTACATGGCATCTATTTAGACATGAATTAATCTTTATTAAAAAAAGCTAATGCTTGAATGTGATCTTGAAGAGAATCCCTTCCCACCCAAACCTTTATATGACTCCACAACTTATCATAGAATCATAGAATGGTTTGGGTTGGAAGGGACCTCAAAGATCATCGAGTTCCAACCCCCCTGCCATGGGCAGGGACACCTCCCACCAGACCAGGTTGCTCAAGGCCCCATCCAGCCTGGCCTTGAACACTTCCAGGGATGGGGCAGCCACAACTTCCCTGGGCAACCTGTTCCAGTGTCTCACCACCCTCAGAGTAAAAAATTTCTTCCTGAGATCTAATCTGAATCTTTTTTCTTCCAATTTAAAACCGTTTCCCCTTGTCCTATCATTACCCTTCCTGGCAAAGAGTCCCTCCCCAGCTCTTCTATAGGCACCCTTCAGGTATTGACTTTCAAGCAGTGAGGAAAGAGTGTGAACTCCAAGCCCACGGTGTTTTCACATCTCCTGATATAGTCTGGGTGTTTCCAGGTAGGACCTTCAGAGGGAGAATCTCTGCCAGAGAGATCAGCCTTACCAACCTTCAGCTCCACGACAGTGCTGTGTACCAGTGTGAGGCCAGCAACAAGCACGGCACCATCCTCGCCAGCGCCAACGTGAATGTCCTCAGTGAGTGCCCTCCTGGCCTTTCCTGTTCATGAGAAAAGGTCTGATTGCAGTGTCCCATTCTGCTTGGAGGATTTTAACCATGTCATTTTCCTTTCGTATTGGCCCCAGATTTTAAGAAATACATTGCCCAAACTAGTGTGACGAGCCTTATCATGGGCATTATTATATGGTTAGCATAAGTGCTCATGAGCTTTGGTATATTTTTTATTTTAAAACATGGTTGTGATTGGCCTAAAAACTTCTGCATTCAAACGTACTAAAACCACCGGGGGCTGAATTATGACCACAACTCTGTTTTTGAATTATTAAGTGTATTGTTAATCTTTAATTTCAGTTGTGATGCTCAGCCTATTCTTTGAAGAAAGGGAGTGATGGGAATTTATTTAATAAAGGAGGTCTCTAGAGCAAGCCGAACTGGGTCTGTTTTCTCTCCTGGAGCACATTGATGTTTCATGTTCTGATGTGTCCAGCACTCAACCACTATTAATTTTGTCAGTGAAATTTAGATAGCTCAGTTGCTCAATGCAGCTGGTTCCAAAAGGCAGTGAAATTCCCGTTAAGTGGCTACACCTTTGACCTTTGCTGGAAAAGGGGGTGATGCAGGGGCAGTATTTATATCCCCAGTTCTGAAAAGCTGTGCTGCTCATTTTGCCTTCTCTTCTGCAGATATTGCTCCCTTAATTCTGACCTCGGACGGTGAGAACTATGCCACAGTTGTGGGTTACAGCGCCTTCCTGCACTGTGAAATCTTTGCCTCGCCTGCAGCAGATATTAGATGGTAAACACATTCATACAGGTTCCCTAAACATTGAAAAATGGTCTGGTTACTATTTTTATAAAGTTAAAATTAGAAATTTGTAACAAAACTGTATATAATATAAATATTCTGTGTTTAAATGTATTTTCAAGAACCCTGAAGAATGGGTTTATAAAAAAAGGCCAATGAAAGTCCTCAGTACCTGTGTGAAACAAGTGCTGGGATATTCATTAAACTAAGCCATGCTGTAGAGAGCCAAATCCTCCTGCAGTTTCATCACCAGTTCTGAAAAGCTGTGCTGCTCATTTTGCCTTCTCTTCTGCAGATATTGCTCCCTTAATTCTGACCTCGGACGGTGAGAACTATGCCACAGTTGTGGGTTACAGCGCCTTCCTGCACTGTGAAATCTTTGCCTCGCCTGCAGCAGATATTAGATGGTAAACACATTCATACAGGTTCCCTAAACATTGAAAAATGGTCTGGTTACTATTTCTATAGAGTTAAAATTAGAAATTTGTAACAAAACTCTATATAATATAAATATTCTGTCTCAGCAGATATTAGATGGTAAACACATTCATACAGGTTCCCTAAACATTGAAAAATGGTCTGGTTACTATTTTTATAAAGTTAAAATTAGAAATTTGTAACAAAACTGTATATAATATAAATATTCTGTGTTTAAATGTATTTTCAAGAACCCTGAAGAATGGGTTTATAAAAAAAGGCCAATGAAAGTCCTCAGTACCTGTGTGAAACAAGTGCTGGGATATTCATTAAACTAAGCCATGCTGTAGAGAGCCAAATCCTCCTGCAGTTTCATCAGCCCTAGTTTAATGCTGGCAACTTTTAAAGTTTGGACACATTATTGAGGTGGAAACGTGATGACATACGGAGTTTATTTACCTGGGAATGGTTCCATAGGGTTGGAAATCACAGGATTGTCCTAGCACTTGACAAGTTCAATAAAGTTACAGATGACAGCTATAGATTAAGGACTCAGCCAGCCTAGTTTGAAGACCTTGCTAGGTGCTGTCAGTCTGGTTTTAGTTTGCAAGAGGCTTATGTCCCTTTACGATTTGCTACACATGGGTAAAGAGAGACACCAGCTCCCCAAATTCCTCTGTGCCCTGTGATATCTGCTAACCATGCAATAACAGTTCCTGCAGCCCCAGAAATAAACCATGACTCTTATTATCTTCTTTAGGACTAAGGATGACAGCATAGAGCCACTTTCAACGTTACGCTATGAGCTAAATAAGAATGGCACCCTAGAGATCAAACAAACAAAGAAAGAAGACTCAGGATCGTATGCTTGCTGGGCTGCAAACTCTGTTGGAAAAAGAGCAATCACTGCTAATCTGGATATAAGAGGTAAAGTCTCAATGAATAGAAAGACCTTTGACACCTGCTAAGGTTTCATATTTAAAAATTTTCAGTAAATAAGTAATTAGTAAATACTTAGTCCAAGATATAGATACATTCTGTGAGGCTATAAATTCTCTGTATGCTAAGACCTGAAATTGCCATGTAGCATATATGTGATTTCTTCATGCTTATACGTGAAACGGCCCTAGTTTAATGCTGGCAACTTTTAAAGTTTGGACACATTATTGGGGTGGAAACGTGATGACATACAGAGCTTATTTACTTAAACTAAGCCATGCTGTAGAGAGCCAAATTCTGCTGCAGCTTCATCGGCCCTAGTTTAATGCTGGCAACTTTTAAAGTTTGGACACATTATTGGGGTGGAAACGTGATGACATACAGAGCTTATTTACCTGGGAATGGTTCCATAGGGTTGGAAATCCCAGGATTGTCCTAGCAGTTCAATAAAGTTCAATAAAGTTACAGATGACAGCTATAGATTAAGGACTCAGCCAGGCTAGTTTGAAGACATTGCTAGGTGCTGTCAGTCTGGTTTTAGTTTGCAAGAGGTTTATGTCTCTTTATGATTTGCTACACATGGGTAAAGAGAGACACCAGCTCCCAAAATCCCTCCGTGCCCTGCGATATCTGCTAACCATGCAAAAACTGTTCCTGCAGCCCCAGAAATAAACCATGACTCTTATTATCTTCTTTAGGACTAAGGATGACAGCATAGAGCCACTTTCAACGTTACGCTATGAGCTAAATAAGAATGGCACCCTAGAGATCAAAGAAACAAAGAAAGAAGACTCAGGATCGTATGCTTGCTGGGCTGCAAACTCTGTTGGAAAAAGAGCAATCACTGCTAATCTGGATATAAGAGGTAAAGTCTCAGTGAATAGAAAGACCTTTGACATCTGCTAAGGTTTTATATTTAAAATTTTTCAGTAAATAAGTCATTAGTAAAAGAGCAATCACTGCTAATCTGGATATAAGAGGTAAAGTCTCAATGAATAGAAAGACCTTTGACACCTGCTAAGGTTTCATATTTAAAAATTTTCAGTAAATAAGTAATTAGTAAATACTTAGTCCAAGATATAGATACATTCTGTGAGGCTATAAATTCTCTGTATGCTAAGACCTGAAATTGCCATGTAGCATATATGTGATTTCTTCATGCTTATACGTGAAAATTTACTTTCTTCTTGACACTTGCAGAAGCTTCATAAGCCATCAAAAACTTGCAGTTTGCTTCCCAGATCCATTAACTTTACTGTCTTGAAAGGATTTTCCCTCTTTCTTGCCATCAGCCCTGTTACATGCAGAGCAGGTTCTTGGCTGACCCCTGGGAGCCCAGAGCCCACCCTGTGCTCATGGGCTTGGTGGGTTCCTCCCTGAGCCAGACGGGGTCCCTGCACCCCCACAGCCAGGGGCTTCTTCCTTCCCAAAGCTACTTCCAGCACTTTCAAGCAGTGAGGAAAGAGTGTGAACTCCAAGCCCACGGTGTTTTCACATCTCCTGATATAGTCTGGGTGTTTCCAGGTAGGACCTTCAGAGGGAGAATCTCTGCCAGAGAGATCAGCCTTACCAACCTTCAGCTCCACGACAGTGCTGTGTACCAGTGCGAGGCCAGCAACAAGCACGGCACCATCCTCGCCAGCGCCAACGTGAATGTCCTCAGTGAGTGCCCTCCTGGCCTTTCCTGTTCATGAGAAAAGGTCTGATTGCAGTGTCCCATTCTGCTTGGAGGATTTTAACCATGTCATTTTCCTTTCGTATTGGCCCCAGATTTTAAGAAATACATTGCCCAAACTAGTGTGACGAGCCTTATCATGGGCATTATTATATGGTTAGCATAAGTGCTCATGAGCTTTGGTATATTTTTTATTTTAAAACATGGTTGTGATTGGCCTAAAAACTTCTGCATTCAAACGTACTAAAACCACCGGGGGCTGAATTATGACCACAACTCTGTTTTTGAATTATTAAGTGTATTGTTAATCTTTAATTTCAGTTGTGATGCTCAGCCTATTCTTTGAAGAAAGGGAGCGATGGGAATTTATTTAATAAAGGAGGTCTCTAGAGCAAGCAGAAGTGGGTCTGTTTTCTCTCCTGGAGCACATTGATGTTTCATGTTCTGATGTGTCCAGCACTCAACCACTATTAATTTTGTCAGTGAAATTTAGATAGCTCAGTTGCTCAATGCAGCTGGTTCCAAAAGGCAGTGAAATTCCCGTTAAGTGGCTACACCTTTGACCTTTGCTGGAAAAGGGGGTGATGCAGGGACAGTATTTATATCCCCAGTTCTGAAAAGCTGTGCTGCTCATTTTGCCTTCTCTTCTGCAGATATTGCTCCCTTAATTCTGACCTCGGATGGTGAGAACTATGCCACAGTTGTGGGTTACAGCGCCTTCCTGCACTGTGAAATCTTTGCCTCGCCTGCAGCAGATATTAGATGGTAAACCACTGAGAACTGGTGTTTTCACATGAAACGCATTCATACAGGTTCCCTAAACATTGAAAAATGGTCTGGTTACTATTTCTATAGAGTTAAAATTAGAAATTTGTAACAAAACTCTATATAATATAAATATTCTGTCTTTAAATGTATTTTCAAGAACCCTGAAGAATGGGTTTATAAAAAAAAGGCCAATGAAAGTCCTCAGTACCTGTGTGAAACAAGTGCTGGGATATTCATTAAACTAAGCCATGCTGTAGAGAGCCAAATTCTGCTGCAGCTTCATCGGCCCTAGTTTAATGCTGGCAACTTTTAAAGTTTGGACACATTATTGGGGTGGAAACGTGATGACATACAGAGCTTATTTACCTGGGAATGGTTCCATAGGGTTGGAAATCCCAGGATTGTCCTAGCAGTTCAATAAAGTTCAATAAAGTTACAGATGACAGCTATAGATTAAGGACTCAGCCAGGCTAGTTTGAAGACATTGCTAGGTGCTGTCAGTCTGGTTTTAGTTTGCAAGAGGTTTATGTCTCTTTATGATTTGCTACACATGGGTAAAGAGAGACACCAGCTCCCAAAATCCCTCCGTGCCCTGCGATATCTGCTAACCATGCAAAAACTGTTCCTGCAGCCCCAGAAATAAACCATGACTCTTATTATCTTCTTTAGGACTAAGGATGACAGCATAGAGCCACTTTCAACGTTACGCTATGAGCTAAATAAGAATGGCACCCTAGAGATCAAAGAAACAAAGAAAGAAGACTCAGGATCGTATGCTTGCTGGGCTGCAAACTCTGTTGGAAAAAGAGCAATCACTGCTAATCTGGATATAAGAGGTAAAGTCTCAGTGAATAGAAAGACCTTTGACATCTGCTAAGGTTTTATATTTAAAATTTTTCAGTAAATAAGTCATTAGTAAATAGTCCAAGATATAGATACATTCTGTGAGGCTATAAATTCTCTGTACGCTAAGACCTGAAATTGCCATGTAACATATATGTGATTTCTCCATGCTTATACGTGAACATTTACTTTCTTCTTGACACTTGCAGAAGCTTCATAAGCCATCAAAAACTTGCAGTTTGCTTCCCAGATCCATTAACTTTACTGTCTTGAAAGGATTTTCCCTCTTTCTTGCCATCAGCCCTGTTACATGCAGAGCAGGTTCTTGGCTGACCCCTGGGAGCCCAGAGCCCACCCTGTGCTCATGGGCTTGGTGGGTTCCTCCCTGAGCCAGACGGGGTCCCTGCACCCCCACAGCCAGGGGCTTCTTCCTTCCCAAAGCTACTTCCAGCCTATTGATCAGCAGGTACATCCCAAAACCAAATTAATATCCACAGCCAACTCCAAGCACGTTACAGCAGGTTGAGTTAGGGGATGCTGCTGGTTGAGGGCCCTCAGAGTGGGCTTTTGCCTGATTATCAACTTGAGAAATATTCATAAATAGAGAAAAAAATATTACTCAAATATGTTTACTTATAAATTTCAGATAAATACCTTGTGTTCTAGTTCTGTTTTAAGGGATTTATTCGGTTGACTGGGCAGGAGGGGGTTTTCCCCAGGCAAGGTGGTGGCAGTGGACAGTTTCTGTTGAGCACAGGGGTTAAATTCAGTGGCTTGCATACAAACTTACTTAGGTATTAAGGTTTGCCAGTGGACAGTTTCTGTTGAGCACAGGGGTTAAATTCAGTGGCTTGCATACAAACTTACTTAAAAAGAAAAAAACAAAAGAAAAAACCTTAAATTCTTAATTAATAGATTGCTCCAAATTAATATCCACAGCCAACTCCAAGCACGTTACAGCAGGTTGAGTTAGGGGATGCTGCTGGTTGAGGGCCCTCAGAGTGGGCTTTTGCCTGATTATCAACTTGAGAAATATTCATAAATAGAGAAAAAAATATTACTCAAATATGTTTACTTATAAATTTCAGATAAATACCTTGTGTTCTAGTTCTGTTTTAAGGGATTTATTCGGTTGACTGGGCAGGAGGGGGTTTTCCCCAGGCAAGGTGGTGGCAGTGGACAGTTTCTGTTGAGCACAGGGGTTAAATTCAGTGGCTTGCATACAAACTTACTTAGGTATTAAGGTTTGCCAGTGGAAAAAAAAAAAAGAAAAAAACAAAAGAAAAAACCACAAAAACTTAAATTCTCAATTAATAGAGTGCTTAAAAGTACTCTCAGATGCAGGTTTGCTGTGACAAACTCGAGAAAGAAATGCTCCTTTTGTGCTCTGTTTCCACCCACTCCCTTTGCTTTGTAAATTTTACAGTGATGATAAACATGAAAATATACAATGAAATTCTCACAGAACAACATTTCACCATAATAAGAAATTCAGCAAAGTGCTTTCTTCTTACTTATTCATCTTTTTTTTGCATTCAAATTAGAGTCAATTAAAAGAACAAACTTGATTGCAATAATTTTTTCTCACTTGACTTTAATAAGCTTGTAATTTTTCTTGGATCGTTGCCAAAGCCTATTTCAAATGGCAATTGGACATAAAAATCATATTCATGCTGGTTTTTTATCATCCATTTCATGACAGTCTGCTAACAAGGATTTTCACCTGTGACTTTTTTTGTGGGGTTTTTTTCTGGCGCTTTTTGGTTTGGAGTGAACTAAAAAAGAATTTTTCAAGACAGAAAATTAAATCCTGGCAAATATCTATTTTAAAAACAACCATCCCTCATTTGAAATGTTTGTATCTATAACAAAAAAAAAAGACATGATCATTGCTCCTAAGGTTGATTTTTATATAAGAAGTGCTTGTTGAAAATTTGATGTAATAGTCTCTCTCTCCTAATCAAAGTGTTTTTCTGTGATCAATCAGATGCTACAAAACTTGTTGTTACTCCGAAGAACCCCCGAGTGTTGAAATCACATTCAATTTTATTGAAATGTCAGTCTGAGTATGATTCACACTTGAAACACAGTTTTAAATTATCCTGGAGGAAAGATGGAGATGAGCTGCCAGTCAAGAGCACGGAAGATGGCAGGTAAGCAGGGAAGAAACAAGAGCTTCCTTGATCTCAGCTGAATAATGCTGTACGGTGCTGGAGCATGAGTTTCAATAAACATGAGACTTAATAGCTTGAAATGCAAATTATGTCTGCAAGAATTCTTCATGCGATATGTGAATAGATCTGCATTTTATATACTTATAAATATAAATGCATCTATAGGTGTTTTGAGCCACAGCTGGCAAATGATTTTGTTTTCTATTAACTGTCTCACCATCACAGCAGAATATTGCATAAATGTTGGTTAAAACCAAAAATACAACCCTAGCCCCAGTGCAGTCAACTGGGGTCCTGTTTCTCCACTTCAGTGGAACTGCTATTTTCATGTGTTTGATACCTGTTTGGCCAAGGCAAGTCCTTGTAATGTTAGAATGAATGTAAAACTGATTTCTGGGATTCTCTGCCTAAAATCATGCACATGAAAAGCAACAAGTTTTTCCTACGTATGAGTTTAGGACTTGCAAGTGCAGGCTGGATTTTGCCCGACTCTGGTGTTCCCATTGACCTTAAGGGGTGGAGCTCAGCCTTTATTCCATATGAAGGGTCCCCCAGTGGGCAATCAGATGTCTTCATTAATTACCACGGAAGAGAGATGGTTTCCTAAATAGTGTGGTGCTGGAGAGGTTGAAGATCCTGCTGAGGCCACGTAGTGGGGGGAGATAGCGCCAAGCAAATGCCATGTCTGCAACGGAGCCCATGCCCTTGTCCTAATGCCAACTTCCCCTGGTGCATTGGACATCACACAAGTGGGTTGGGAATGCTCAGTTTTACTCAACCCGTTCAAAATTCAGACATAAAGCCCACGTATTTGCCTCATTAATGGTGTGCCAAACTCCTATGTTCCAGCACTCAGCTGATGCGTGTCAATGTGACTCTTTTCAGTCTGAGAGAGACACGCCAACTTCCAGCCATGGAGGCTAAATTGCTACAAAATCCAAATAATTGTCTACAGCACAGTGTGTAATACAACTGTAATTATGCTTGAAAGTAATAGGCCTAACGTGCAATTATGTTAGTCAGAATGTCCTGTTACTAAGTTTTTTATGAACAAGTTTTTGGAGAACAACGGTGTCTATCTGTCATAGGCTTGTCTTACGAATTTTTGTCTTCCTTATTTGTATGTACATTGTTTGTTTTTTTTTTCCCTGTAGGATAATTCTGGACAGGGACACGCTGTTCATCTCCAGCGTGACACTGGAGGATCAAGGAGTTTACACGTGTGTGGCGAGCACTTCCCTGGACAGTGTCACAGCCGAAACACAGTTAATCGTTCTCGGTAAGAGAATATATTCCTGGGGTGCAGGCAGCTCCATGCAGGACATAATGCAATGGCAGCACTTCTGCTTATTTGCTGCTTCTGCCCAGTTCAGTTACAGAACCTCAATAACCCAATTTCACAGAGGCACAATGTACCTCTCGCTCATTAACCTCCGTGGTGCTACCCTTGTGTCTCCTGGAGTGGGGATGCCGACGCAAGCATTTCATTTATATTTACTCAGCTCTTTGTTATACCTAAGACGAGGCAGCCTTTTTTTTCAGTTCAGGAGTCACCCACAGTGTCTGGTTGAGCCTGCCCAGGCTGGAAGGTGTAATAGCCTATTAAAAATGGCTCTGCTTCTGCTTTGATGTCCTTGGCCAGTCCTTCACCCCACTTTAGTAGAGATTTGCACACAAATTACCGCTTGGACTGTTTTGATGAAGACAGACATAAGGCCAGTATTTAGATGTCCTAATCCTCTAAAGATCAGTGAAAATTAAACATCTAAAAGGATTAATTATCTCTGTGAATCAGAGCATAAATTGTTGTCCAGTGGCAAAGAGCAAGTTCACGGCAGAGAAAAGCCTTGACCCACAGAGTCTGAAGCTTGACCTTCTGTGAACCTCTTCACAACCTGCCTCCCTTCCTGGAGGACCACTTGAAATTAAGGGAGTGAACTTGTGGAGCGATGTGCATTCCTTTGCACATGTACCTAAATGCATCAGCAAATAGCTAAAATTCTTTTTTGTCGACAGTTTTGCATCATTTTAATATCCTTTAGCTTCAGTTTTGCTTCATTTTACATTTTTATTTATTTATGGCACTGATTGCAAAAAGAACTAAGATGATCTGACCTTCAAGATGTTTTCACACTTTAAGTGAATGGTATTTTTCAGTAAATAGTAAATTAAGAAGGTGCTATGCACATTATTTATGGTGTTGCGTTCCTTAGTGCTGTATAATTCATAATGTTTGTAGACTATTCGTTACAATACTTATGAAAGTTTCATGAAGAATTTTATTCCCTTTTAAAAAGGTGAATTGCAGAAGAGGAAAAACAGTGTTGTGCTCTTTCGCCCGCAGAAGAGGAAAAACAGTGTTGTGCTCTTTTCCCCTTGTATATTGTATATAAGAAAGCTCTTGGTGTGTTAACCATATCTGTTATTTTCCAAATGGAAAATTCAGGCTTTTTTTGTAATGAAGGACTTGTGAGATGGCTAAAGAACTAAATACGGCACAGATGGAGACATCAGAATATGGGCAACCAAGAGCAAAAGAAATATCCAGTTATAATACTTCGAAATATTTGTTCTATGATAGAGGAATGAGTATCTTTAAGATGCACCATTTCCACCTTTAAACTAATATACTGAATTTTAACACCAGGTACACTCCAAGAATAGAAGAGGAAAATTGCCTTTAGGTTAAACTGTACTTTCGCTGATTTTTTCCCAAGTACAACAGAAATAGGGAAAATAAATGCAAAAAAATACTAAAACAACAGACATTGTGTCAGGAGGAGGTCAAAGACCCAAAGTTGTGCAATCTCATTTCCTTGGGCTTTACTTTTTTTGGATTTTGAAAAGCCAGGGCTGCGTTGAAGGAGGGGGAGTGTGTGTGTTGAGTTTGGAAGGACGTTGGAAGGAGTTTGGAGTTTGGAATCACTCTTTTACATCAGGCCCTATACATTTCAGTGAGCAAACTAATCCAATACAGTCGGACTGCAAACTGTCAGAGCCAGCCATAAGGAATATAAACATCTGTCACTCTGAATCCATGACATTTCATAGAATACTAGGATGGTTTAGGTTAGAAGGGACCTTAAAGACCATCCAGTTCCAACCCCCTGCCCTGGGCAGGGACACCTCCCACCAGCCCAGGTTGCTCCAAGCCCCATCCAGCCTGACCTTGAACCCCTCCAGGGATGGGGCAGCCACAGCTTCTCTGGGCAACCTAAGCCAGGGGCTCACCACCCTCAAGGTAAAAAATTTCTTCCTAATATCTAATCTAAATCTCCCCTCTTTGAGTTTAAAGACATTACCCCTTGTCCTATCACTACACGCCCTTGTAGAAAGTCCCTCTCTGGCTTTCCTGTAGGCACCCTTCAGACACTGGAAGGGGCTCTAAGGTCTCCCTGGAGCCTTCTCTTCTCCAGGAAGAGAAGGCATTGATTCAATTCCAGGCAATTTGGTGAACCACCCATGCCACAGGTCACCTTTTCTGCCCCTGGTGCTGTTGGGAAACCAGGTGGTGTTACAGCCGTGTGTCCCCCTTGCCGTCTCCCATAATAGTGGGGGGGAACAGCCTGTTTTGGTGGTGCTGGGACCCTCAGCCCTGGCTGAGATTACATCCCTGAAAGGTGAGCAAGGCCAGGAGGGGGGCAGTTGTGTGCTTGGGGCATGTATAGCCCCACACTCATCCCTAGGAGGTGCAGAGCTGTTATCACACCAGCCACCACCAGCTGACTCTGATATATTCTCTGGACAGCATTAGTCGAGCTGGCAGGTAATGAATTTTCTTGTTTCCTTTTAATATAGATCCCCATGGCTGGGATAATGAATGTTATCTGTGCACTCATACTCTAAAAGGCCAAGTTCAATAACTGTCGGAGCTGAGTCACCTTCTACCACTCTGGTTTGCACCAGAGTAAATCCAAGTGGTGCTAATATAACTTTCTGCTCAGAGCAGTGTCAATATCTATTAATGATTAAATAGATCTCTGTGTTGATTTGAAAAGAAAAATCTGTTGCTGCAAGCACAATGAAGAGACTAGATGGAAATGAACTTGAGGAGGAATATTGCATTTATAAGGGAGAGAGCAGGACCAGAGGGTTCAGTTTGGTTTTATGTAATAAAAGGAATCTTTAAAAGCAGTTCCCACTTTCCTAATTTTGTCCGCTTTGAAATCTAAAGATGTTTTCCACCATCTTTACTGAACCTGATGTTCCAGCCCTTTGGAAAATGCTGAGACAAACAGAAATAGCTTGCCATGCTCCTGACGCTTCCTCATTATTTCCCAGACGTTCCTGATCCACCAGAAGACCTTCAGCTCTCAGAAAATCAAAACCGAAGTGTTCGACTATCCTGGAAAGCTGGGGCCAGCCACAACAGCCCTGTTAATGGTATGAAAGATTTTAGTAGCATCATCTTGCCCTGTTTAGCATTACGGCGCGTCACGGCTGTTAGAAGAAACAAACCGCGCTCGCAGCCATACTTAATCGGTTTTACTATGACAGTTAATTTGTTGTAAGTTCATTTCCATCCTCGCTATTTATAAGCCGTTTATACAGGCTCTGCCTTTTTTTTTTTTTTTTTTTTCCCTTACATTTTGTTCCTTTTCCACCCCAGAGTCGATTGTCGAGTTCGAAGAGAACCGTGGGGAGCCGGGGAGGTGGCAGGAGCTGAGCCGTGTCCCCGGGAATGACACCACCACCCTTTTGTCACTGGCCCCCTACGTCAATTACCAGTTCCGTGTGGTATCTGTGAACGCTGTGGGAAGGAGCCAGCCCAGCAAACCCTCCCTGCGCTACGCAACGCCTCCGGCTGGTAAACACTGCCATCTAGTTTTCTGAATATTCACATTTCTTCTCTCAAGTCACAGGCGACAGGACCAGAGGAAATGGCCTCAAGTTACACCAGGGGAGGTTCAGGCTGGATATTAGGAAACATTTTTTCACCAAAAGGGTTATCAGACATCGGAATGGGCTGCCCAGGGAGGTGGTGGAGGCACCATCCCTGGAGGTGTTCAAAAGACGGGTTGATGTAGTGCTGGGAGGTCTGGTTTAGTGATGGTGATGCTTCTTGTTTGTTGTGCGGGTGTCTATTTTTGTCAAAGTTAGGTTGATGGTTGGACAAGATGATCTTTAAGGGCCCTTCCAACCTAGAAGATTCTGTGATTTGGTGATTTTTAGTGTTTTGCTGGGAATAACAGTGCCCTCCTGTGCTTCAGGGCTGTGCGAAGAAGTCAGGGTCCCTGGTGCTGCTTTCGCTGTTTGGTGGCAGCCCAGGGACACCAAAGCGAGTGGTTGGCAAGGTCTTTCCTATCAGGGTGCCTCTAGGACACCACTTTCTTGACCTCTGCTGATCTTGCCCCTTAAAACCCCATTGCAGTCCTTTATGGACAAGCAGTTGCTGGAGAAGATCAGTGTTTATGGGGAGCTTTCCAGCAGTGCTAAACTTGTCAAAAATCTTCATTCACGGTGCGTTCCTCACTGTGACACAAAATGTTGTGTCCCTGAAAATCATTCCAGAGGCCAACTGTTCAGCACGGCATTTGCATTCCTTGGCATTTTTCTTTCTTTTCTTTCCCCGTTACTTCAATTTCAGGTCCTCCTTCAGCTTTTCAGCTGTGTGTGTCCCACTAATGATATACCTTCTGTTTACTATCCCCATAGGGAGAAAAATCTCTTCCTCATAATCCCCCTACATCTGGTGCTTTGAAATCCAAAAGTCACAGTTTCATGTTAGCTGGTGGCTCCAACCAACAAGGGCACTTTGGAATCAAAACTGCATAAACAATGTGTTTCGGTCACAGCAGCTTTGCTGATCCAAGTAATTAATCTCATGAATGTTTTTTGTTTAGATGTCTTTCACTCTCTCAGTGATACAGAAATAAGAAAAGTTTTTTGCATCCTTTTTTGCATATAAATGATAAATGCAAATAAAAGCCAGGATGTGCAAATTAACCTTATCACCTGTGTGGTTCCAGCTCCAGACAAGAACCCAGAAAACATCCGAGTTGAAGCTTCTGAACCAAATGAAATGGTGATGAAATGGGAGGTAAGGCAGACGTGTCCATCGGTGCTACAATACAGGGAAAAAAGTTCTCCCTTCAAGCAGCGGTTTCTAAAGCAGCATGGAATTTATCAGGATGTTGTTTTAATATAATTGCATTTAAAAAGAAATAATGGATCTCTCGGCTTCATCTCCCCTTTCCCTGCCCCTATTTTTTAGGAAATATTAGAAAATTCCATAGGTAGGATCCTTGATGCTCCTGAAGTCAAAGGTAAAGTTGTTATTGACTTAAACATGTTCTGGATTTCCTTCCTGAGTTTCATTTTTGTTTCAAAAGACAATTTTATACATCTAACTTCACAGATCATTAAGAAATATAAAAGTCCCATAAAACACAGTAAGAATTCCCCAGAGTATGCATCTTGCATACCAGAATGTGCATAAAATAACTGTAGTGTTACCCTGCTCTGTGGGAGGAGCAGCCAGGCCCTGGGAGAGGATGGTTTTTATACAGAGCATCTGCCCTTCCAGCCTGGAGGTTTAAAAATGACACAGATGACTCGGCCAAGAGAACGTGAGCTTGAATTTTTACATCAAGAACTAAAGGAGTGCAGATAAAGCTCCTAGGCATGTGTGTCAAAGGAATCGTGTAAAGTCTTGAGGACGGTTTCCAGTCTTCAACTTCCTTGGCTTTTAAGCTTACAGCTTCTGTGCCAACAGTTTGGAGAGAGATATATATGCCTTCATTTAACACAAATTTCAACAACTGTGGAAGGAGCATATTTTTTGGTGACTGGAATTAAACGCAATTTACATGAGATTTACTTCTCAATCTGCTGCTCGCAGCAAAGAACAATAAATGTTTCCCCAGTGTGAATTCATGATTTAGGCTATAATTACGCCAAAAGGAGACGGCCCTCTAGATCTATTGACTTGGATTGGAAAGGGGATTTTTGCTGTACGACGTAGCTCAGTGTCAGGGAAGACAACTCTGTCTCTCAGAAGAAATGCAGAGTGATAATAACCAGCGTGGGTGGGAAATTCTGCTGTGACCAATGCTTCCTTGAAAGGAGAACGAGAGCTCCTCCTCGCCGGGAGCCTGTAATCCCTTGCTCAGACAGGGCAAAAGTAGAAATGAAAACTGCAACTGAAGGGAAAGAATGGGATGGACAGGCTTTGTTAAATCTTGTTGAATCATTTAAATGTAGTAAACAGGATATTCATTCATTTATGGTGTTTCCTCTATGCTTTTCAGAGGAAATGCTAGGCACTAAACACGCTATTTCTGGCAGACAAAGGCTGCAAAATGATGTTAATCTGCCTATTTTGGATTAAGAGACCAGATGAGCATTAGTGACTAGCTTTTCAGCCAAGGATTTGCAGCATTAAAGGGGATCAAAGTGAGAGTCAAGCAGTGCTGCAATTTAACTCTGAACAAGAAGTTATTTTTCAGTAGGAATTTTTTACTTCTTCAGCTTCTATTGCAAATCCCATTCCCAGGGATCTTTGCCACGGCAGTGATTCTCCAGTGGTGCCTGTTAGAGAGCTGCCCAGTCTTCTGGCTGCTTCACCACAGTCATCCCAAAGGTCCTCATACCCTCAGAGCAGATAAGTGGCAATTTTTGCAGATGCCCAGACCCAGGTCCCCCTGTGCATGAGGAGCATCCATGGGGATGGGGGGATCCATGGGGGGAATCACTTTCTGCTGGCACTTGCAAGTTGATTCGAGACCTCTGTGTGCAGCTTGGATACATATCAGTTATTATATATTTAATATGTACAATATATAATTTCAGTATTAAAAGTAGGCTATGTGCTGGGAAATACTCACAGCTGTTTCAGTTGCCTGAATTTACCCTCATCGGTTTTGGTAGTGCAGGTAACCAGTTAACTTCATTAATTAAGGAAGCACATTTTCAGAGAAATAAACTCAACTGGAGAACATCTCATGACATTGCTATACGTCTTCTAATATTTTATAAATTCATGTTAATTAGATGGGAACCATGCTGTGATGAATTCTTCAGTTGATCAGTAAAAAAGAGTAGCACAGCAGTTGCACGTTAAATGTCCAGGCTTAGTTTCAAACATTTATTGCATATTTAGAACAAATCTGAATTTTAATGACCCAACTTGCTGTGCTACATAAAATTCTAAGATAAAACACAGATTTTAGCTGTACTAAAAGGCACACACAGCCTTATGCCAAAATACGCATTTTAGTTGTGCTAAAAGGCCTGCGGTTTTACATCACAGAAGAAAACAAAGAAAACCTGTGGCAAAACAAAAACTGATGTATGTGGTATGCAGAAATATGTCTACTAGCAATTAATCTGGTTTTAATCCAACTGTTTCTCTGCCTTTCACCCACCTTTCTCTGGAAGTAATGAGATTTTTCTTCCAGTCATCTTAAAATTAAAGTTAAAAAAAAAGTTAAAGCTTTCTTTTTTTCCCCTCTTTTCCCTCCCAGTCTTGTCATATGCTTTCCAAAATTATTCCCCCCCTCCCTTCAGCTGCTGTTTCATGATTACTGCAACAAAGGCAGACAAGATCTCTTTTAACTTCTTCCACAGCCATTGAAACCCATGGAGAGGAACGGGCCGGGGCTGGAGTACAAAGTCAGCTGGCGGCAGCGGGGAGTCGAGGCAGACTGGAACGAGGAGACAGTGAAGAAGCATTCCCTGACCCTGAGAAACACTCCCACCTTTGTGCCTTATGAGATCAAAGTCCAAGCAGTAAATAATTTAGGATCTGGTCCGGAACCAAACATCACCATCGGGTATTCGGGAGAGGACGGTAAGTTGCGAAACTGTCATGTAAAAATATGATGGGTGGGGGACTGTTGTGATGCAGGATGATCGGGTAGGGAGTGATGGATTAGGCAGCCCACGGCCAAAACTGCTTAAATGCCAGGGCTCAGCATGATGGGCTACGTGAGATGCAAATGCGACTGATGCTGAGTGCTGTGGATGCCAGCTTGCTGGAGTTGGAGGGATTTTTTGGAAAGGTCACTTGTGCTTTCATTAATCTCAGCTGCTGGCTTAGTCTGGATACTTGTTTGAAGGCCACAGTCCATAAGAAGTCTATGAAGTGTAGCAGTCGTTGCGTTGTACTTGGTGGGGAAAAAAATCCTTAGCTTGTCAGGGGCCCGATTTAACAGTTTAACAGTGTCAGAAGTTAAGTACTCTGGCAATTAAGTACAAACACTCAGGCGTTGGGCAATTGTAAGGGAATTTATAGATGATGCCACGTTCCCATGTGTGCTGGGTGTTACCTTGTCTATTGAGTCCTTGAAGAACAGGTCCTCTTCTCCAGGCTGCGTTTCCGTCCAGTGGCTTTCTGTGACTCCTGAGCGGCTCAGCCTGCTCTCGGGCCTCCCTGTGTCTCTGGAGAAGTCTTCACTGGAGGAAGGCTTTGCTTTGGATCTGCTCCTTCTCCAAGCCCTATCCCCGTGTCTTCTCAGTGCTTGCCTACCTCTGATTTTGGACTCTGTGCATCATCCAAACCAGATCAAACAAAGAGGCTTTCTCCCCTTGCCACCCATTTTTACAAAATAGATGCCTGGGGTGCTCTGATATCACACCAACCACTTGTGATACCCACCCTTTGCATATCCTCTTCAAGCACTGTCTTCATGGTGGGCTTTAATAATCATGTCCCATTAGGAGAGGTGAACTAATCGAATTAATGCAGGATGCAACAGCCATGCTATGTCTGTGGGTCATTGGATAATGTCAATGCTGAGGCCACCCCAGCATCTCTGAAGAGCAGTCTGTCCCCTTCGGTGTTTACTGCATGTCTAGAGAAGATATTTGGAGGACTGGAAAAGTATCCAGCTGCAGTAATGAAATGCCAAGCCTCACCTTAGGAAGCACCCCAGCTATGCACTAACACCACCACCACCAACAAAAAGAATCCTTTTTTATAGGAATTAGGGATTTAAATCAGCAATGGAGTAAACAGCATGGTGGCCTGCTAGCAGGGAGTGCCAAGCTTCCCTCATCCCAAATACAGGTGTTTATTGCATATGCAGCCACTTAGCAGCAGGGGCTGGGAGCTCTTGGCAAAGAGGAGCCAGGAGGGGCAGCAAACGGTTCGTGTTTCAGATCTGCACATTGATTTTACAACTTAAGTCAGACAGTTTTCATCCCATGCACAATCTGAAGTCTTTAGGTTGTTCTTGTAAGAGTGACAATTTGAATGGCCTTTGAAAAGTCTACAGTGGATAAGCCGACTAAGCCAAACGTGTATTTTGCCGCTTATTAAAACAACCAACCAGCCACATCCTTGATTTAACCCACCTCCTCCCCCCCCAGTCACTCCCCAGTAGCATAGGTGCTGCTGCTCCCACCTCTCCACTGGCTGCAGCTTCTCACAGAAGCCGTTGTGGAGTATCATGATCTGTGGTAGGTGATATGAGACCATCAGTAAAATTTCTGTGGTAATCAGAGATGTAAAAAACGTCACTAGATTTACAGAGGGGAAGGAATCCTAAGGCAGGCTCTCTGGAGCACTCCTCTCCTTGAGTGGTCGCACTGAGATTCGCATTATCAGCCCCAAGATTGGACCAGTTTGGTGTTAACAACCTGCTGAGTGCTTCCTGATGTTTCACCAGCAGAAAGCTTCAGCGCTGGGAATGGTCTGGGTGCTGCTCAGACAGGAGAGTCCCCACTGTATGCCCAGAGGTGGGCAACAGGAAGGTTTGGTGGTGTATCTTCCCTCCCCCGTAGAGTTTATAGTAGAAGAGATGGTGGATAGTGAGTACAGAGAGAAAGGAACCCCACAGCAAGTTTATTTTCTTTGTGTGTCTGTGGTGGATCTAATTTTATATCTATCAGTGGAAAATCTTCCTTGCAATTCAGTTGTCAATGGATCAAGGCCTCTTTTTTCAAGCGCTATAATAGCTTTCTGTGTTGTGTAGTGATTAAAATCCTACTGTTTAATGAGCTTAGTTGTAAAATGAAATTGATTATAAAAAAAAACTTTATGATTGCCTTCTTGAGTGCTGTGTTAATCATTTTGTTTTTATTCTTCTCACTGCTGTAAGCATTACTTGAAACAGGAAATCATAAATACTGGTGTAGAAATTCATATGTCCCAGTGCACCTGTATCCCAGCCCTCAGCAGAAAGCCCTGAGACGGCAAAATAAAGTTTATTGGCCCATTTCACCCACTGGATGCAGGTGGAATGGCTTTTTTCTTGCCTGCAGTAAGACTACATGAACTGCCACAGCTTGAGCTGGAAAGCCAAGCCCTGTAGCTGTGAACAGTGTGAAAATGAGCTCTTGCAAGTGTCTTTAATATGCAGCACTTTTGTTTTTGCAGTTCCAGATGCCGCTCCTTCCGGTGTGTCGGTGGATGTTGTGAACAGCACACTGGTCAAAGTCTTCTGGTTTGGAATACCAAGGGACAGAGTTCGTGGACATTTAAAAGGCTACAAGGTTACAAATTTATCTTTAAATATTTGTATGTAGTTGAATAAACTACTAAATGAATCCCAGATCAAGGATAGATTGCATCTGGGCAGGCGAAAGAAATCAATATCGTGTTCAGCCCCCTACAACATAATTTGTTATAGAAATACCAATTTCAATGCAGGTCAGTTGGTGGAAAACAAAAAGCATGCTGGATGGAAAAAGGCATCACCCGGAGAAACACTTCCTAACGTTTGTAGGAGACAGAAACTATGGGATGATTCCCGGTCTAGAGCCCTTCAGTGAATTCCGCTTGAGTGTTTTGGCTTACAACGCCAAAGGAGATGGACCAGAAAGCTCCCCCATTGTGTTTGAAACTCCAGAAGGAGGTAAGACAAAATCAGAAGATGGGATGGAGGGACATTAATAGAAATTGTCCATGTAACAAGTCAAGTTGGTTTCCTTATTTAAAGCGATTGTAAAATCTCCAATATTCATAAAACCCTTCACTAGAAAGGAGAATTGTAGGTGTTGGACTAAACTATGTCCTCATTTAACAGGTATTTGTAGAGACAGACCTGTTCAATGTTCTTCTCTGATAGCTGATCCCTCTATCTTCCAGTCCCCGATCAACCACGATTCCTAAGGATCCTGAACTTTGACAAGGACTCCGTCACTCTGTCATGGGGACTTCCCAAGAAAGCAAACGGCCACCTCACTGGCTACATTTTGCAATACCAGATAAGTATGTGTTTGGTTTACTTCGATTTTAGAATTTAAGCATTATTAGTTAAAGAAAAAAAGGGAAAGGTAAAAAAAAAAAAGGGGGGGGGGGATGTTTATGGGCACAGTTATTTAAAGCAGAGGCTGATGAGAAGAGCTTTTTCTGAGATTCCAGCAATAGCCAGAGCATCAGACAGCGTGTGTTGAAGTGTGATGCGCACACAGCCTGCTGGAGGGCAGGCCAAAGTCACCTTCCAGAGCAGAATGCCTTCCATCCACTTTTCCAACATAAGCTCACATTGCTGCCATGCCCTATTCCACATTTACAGACTAATTTGATTATTTCGTACTTGCAAATTATACCTAACATACTCCTTAAGAAGACCCACAAATTGTAGGTGCATTTGACTGAATTGAAACTCATTCAGTGCCAAATAATTTGTAATGAGAGCACTTTAGTCACAATTATTCAGGTCTTTACAATATGTCAGTGAGCACCTCCTCCTTGTAAAATGCCTCAGCAGAAATGCAGACAACCACCCCCTGATTCATGTTACTGAGTAATCTAATTGAGAAACAACTAAATAATAGGGGTATTTCTTTCTTGCTCTCTTATGAAAGAACTGAGTAGCGGGGAAAAGACTTTGAGCAGGTAAGATCAGGTAAGATCTTTTGGTCCCAGGCTTCTAACATCAGCTGTGAGGTGTGGTTGCAATTCAGGGTATATTGCATGTTCTTTGAGGATGGAAGAGGATTCGACTGTGTAGATTGTGCCCTATTTACAAAAAAAAAAAAGAAAAAGTACTTTTTATTTATCTCTGCTGATAGAAGAACTGCCCAACTGCCCAGTTGCCTTTGCAAGCAGGGGCTGGAGGCTGGATCTTCCCTTTGGTTTTGATGACTATGGGCAGAGAGTGGGTCCATCTATGTAGGCAGTTTGGGAGTGACAAACCCTCCTTCAGCCGCCAGCTGTGCCAAGGCAGAGGAAATAAAGCAGAACTGCAGTTCCTTAACTTGCTTGCAAAAGTTTGCAGATATTTGGAAGCAAAGCAAGAAGCAATTAATATATATTTAATGATCTAGGAGACGGTAATTTTTACCTCCCACTCAGTATGTACGTATCTAGAATCAGAGAGCTTTTTAAGAACTGTAATAGCTCACCGAGCAGTTGGGAGATTGACATGGATGAGATAAATCCCATTTAAGCACTTGGGAGGAAGGTGAGAGATGCTTCTTCAGGCTTCATCCTTCCTGCTCACTGCAGAGTGCCTCCCTTGCAGGAGCGCTCCCGACACGTTTCATGTTCATAGCCTTGAGCTGCTGGATCTGACCCAACCTCCTTTTTTTTTCCTTTTTCAGTAAATGAAACGCACGAAATCGGACCTCTGAGCGACGTCAGCGTAACCAACCGCTCCACGCTCAGCTGGAGGCTGTCGGGTCTCAGCCCCAGCACCAAGTACAAATTCTATGTAAAGGCTTGTACAGTCAAAGGCTGCGGGAAGCCAGTCACAGAAGAAGGACTAACGATGGCTCAAGGGAGTAAGTTAATAGGCAATATGTTTTTATGCGGAGAAGCTCTAACAATAATGGAAAAATCTATTGAGAATATTCTAGGCTTGACATTTCCTTTGTAATTAGAGGAAATAAATTTGTTTTTCTTTCCACGAGAACAATCAATGAACTTTTTAATGTAGCCATGCAGCCTTCAGAAAAGTAGAGCTCATCTGTTTCATTTTGCTTTACAGTACTGAGTTTCTCTTCCCACTGATCATCTCTTTAAGCCATACTAGAATAAGTGAATTGCATTTAGTCACAAACAGAAAATTGAAGATCTAAATAATCTCTTCTCAATAATATAAAAATAAATTCTGCCTTTGCATGAAGATGGGGGACTGCCAGCAACATTAGGGGCAGGTATTTGACATGGAAAAATCCAGATTAACATACAAGCTGACTGCAGTGCATTTGATCCATTATTTTATTATTATTTTATCAGAGACTGGAAGGGAGCATTTGTGTGCCACTTGTATCCTATCCTAAAACGCTGAAGTTCAGTGATTGAAAGGAAAATCACAAGCACTATACAATAACTCATCTTTCACATTCAGCTGAAATGAAATCAAATGTACTGTGCTCAGCAAGTCTGAAAACTCTACAATACCAAGGAACCTTGTCCTTGCTATTAATCAGAAACCATTGCTGTGCACTTACCATGGGGAAAGAGAAGGAGAATGTAATAAGCAAAAGAGTCATGGCTTCATCTTTTTTAGCAATGATAACGGTCTGGTACAATGTTGGTATAAAAGAGGAAAAAGGTCCTTGTTGTACAACATCCTGTTGGACTTCCAAGCAGCAGAATCTCTTCAGTTACTGGTAAAACAAGTAAAAAAGTACTTCAAACTCATCACATCCCAGTTCAGGATCCAGTCATAAACTGTCATCCATTTTCTCAATTAGTGAAACTCCTTCTCACTCTAGTATAGAGGTAGTCACATGATAGTAACTATTAATCTCTCAGCATAGTTTAAAATCTATTCCTCATTAAGGAAAGTAAAACATCTCTTTTATCTTTTTTTTTTTTTTTTTTTTTTTTTTCAAGCTAAAAGTACACAATTTCACCTCATTACTTACCTCTTCTGGCCTTCTTTGGGCAGCCAGAATAATGTGTTTTGACCACTTGAAAGTCTATGATTTCTTTGAATAACCTTGTCACATTTTATGAAATGCATCCCTGCCTGATAACGCCTAAAGGATGATAATGTTGCCGTTCATTTCATTCTTGTTCTCTTCTTTTCTTTCCTAAGACTTTGTTTTGGCAGTGGCAACAACTGATTCTGGTGAAATGCTTGTGAATAGAGTAGTATAATTACTAAAAGCCACAAGGGTCCAGTTCTGCGATTAATGTGTGCTCCTTGCTGGTTCTCAAGCCACTCTAAATTAGGACACTGCATCTGTCACTGAGATGCCATTAGTTTTGTGTCATTATTTGCTGGCTAAATTGTTTGGACATTTTTCAACTAAACATGGCAGGCTGAAAAAAAATCACTTTTTTCAGTGACCTTCTTGGGGCTTTAAATTGTTGTATGGGAAGCAAAGCGATTGCTCAAAATTAAAACAATCTCTCTTTTTGAAGAAAGGGAGTGATTTCAAAAGTCAAAGTTGATAATTTAAAATGACCTACATAAACGGCAGATATAAAATGTGGTGCCCTCTGCAATGAAACTCCGAGACAGACCACTCCAAGTTTCTTTGGCTTTTGATTCAGTGATTCTATATCCACTATGTTCTGGTTTTAAGAACAAAAACATAAAGCTCTCATTGTTCATTTTAAGACTTTGAATAGCTTCCACTGCTGTAATATTGCCTTTGCAGGCTGTGCCAGGGGTATTTCAGAATTTCATCATAAATTCTGCCAGAAAAGTGGAGATGTTGAGGTGGAAGCGATGGATTCATTCACATTTTATCATTGATATACTTGATCTGCATCACTTCTATTGCCTTCATTTATTTGTGGTTATCCCTGCTACTATAGTCTGGAATCAGAAAGAAAAGTCAATCTCTTTTTAATACATGCTTGTCTGTATTGCTACTAAAAAAGAAAGTTTGCGTAGGGAAATTTAAATGATAATTTTGCCAGCCTGTCATTTATGTGCAACCCATCTCCTGACGATGAGTTTGCAGTGACATGAATGGCAGAATTCAGTAAAAAAAGTTTCTCCCAATTAAATAATTATAACTCCCCTGTATAGATAAATTGGTAGATCATACCCTTTCTCTACAACTGTAGCGTCTTCCTCTGCGAATGAACCGTTCCGATTCACTTTTTTGACAGGAGTAACACATTTCTTTGGGTTAGCAACACTTTACTGAAAGGTCAATGAGTGGATATTGATAGGAAAAGACCATCTGGCCATCACATCTCTATTTCTTCATTCTGTGGTGGAGCAGTGCTGGATTCTGCATCCTGTGCGTGTCCAGTGGCAACAGAGATATTGCCCTCTGCTTGGCAGCGCTGCCTCTGTCAGACGGGGCTCTTTCTGTGCCATTACTTATCAGAGGAAAACCACACTTTAGTATTTGTCTCCAAGAAAGAGGCAATATCAAAGCTTTCATTTATAGCATCCTCGTTGCATGACCCAACACCACTGGCATTGGCAGTTAATACAAAGTCAGTGAAATAAAAGGGCTCTTTCTTATGAAAGATCTTCCACAGCCAAAATAACTCAGATATGAAATGCTGAAATACAACCATAGGTCTTTATCAGCTGTTGATAAAATACTGTGGACAATCATGAAGAAACTGGGAAAGGATATTTGCATTGTGCTGCAAAATAAATAGTTTAATTATTGTGGCTTTCTCTTGGTTTCATTCTACATAAGAAGGTATACTGTCTTTAGAAAAGTGAGTTTTATCTCTAACTTTCCATTGTCAGGCAGTATTTCTTAAATGACTTACAAACTAATTAACTTTCTCCTTGAAAATGTTGATTTCCAAATGATCATTAGCCCTCAGAAGCATAACACAAAATAACATTTACATAAGTGAAAAAAAATAATTTAATATAGCAGTCCTTCTTTAACACAAAGCTTCTTTTCATCCAGAGCTACCAGTGTTGCTGGAGGATTACTAAACGCTTATTACATGTTGAGAATGATTGCTGTGTGTCCAGAAATTCAAGCCCTAATGAAAAATTCATCCAGAGGAAGCCATACAACTGTAGTTTTATTTTCCAGAGAAGCAAGAGAATAAAAGTTCACCAGTTTCATTATATTTCAATGGCAATTGGCAAGTAACTCCCACAGGCTTTTCAAAAATCTTAGCCTGAGGGTACTAACCTTCATGACACACCATAAGATGATTTGTTACAAAATAGATGGGTTTAGTTCTCTTTTGCCACAGGCACAGTGAAAAAGGAAAAATACCACTGCCTTAGCCATATGTAACCACTGGTATTGTTACCAGCAACCCCCCCAAACATACCCTGTTCAGTCATGATCAAGAGAATCTGATGAGATCTTGGTGAAAAGTTTCTTTTTCTGTCATAGAATCATAGAATGCTTTGGGTTGGAAGGAACCTTAAATATCATCTAGTTCCAACCTCCCTGCCCCACTAGACCAGGTTGCCCAAAGCACCGTCCAGCCTGGCCTTGAACACTTCCAGGGATGGGGCATCCATGACCTCCCTGGGCAACCTGTTCCAGCATCTCACCACCCTCACTGTAAAGAGTTTCTTTCTAGTACCTAATCTAAATCTCCCCTCTTCCAGTTTAAAACCATCACCCCTTGTCCTGTCACTGCACTTCCTGACAATAAGTCCCTCTCCAGCTCTCCTGTTGCTCCCTTCAGATATTGAAAGGCCGCTATAAGGTCTCCACAAAGCCTTTTCTTTTCCAGGCTGAACAATCCCAGCTCTCTCAGCCTGTCCTCATCCACCAACACCCCCAAGTTCTTCTCCTCAGGGCTGCTCTCTAGCCATTCTCTGCCCAACCTCTGTTTGTGCCTGGGGTTGCCACATCCCAGGTGCAGGACCCTGGTTAAACTTCATGCGATTTGCCTCAAGTCTGTCCAGGTCCCTCTGGATGGCAGCCCTTCCCTCCAGCGTGTCGACCGCACCACAGAGTTTGGTGTCATCCACAAACTTGCTGAAGGTGCACTCTATCCCATTATGTCTCCAACAAAGATGTTGAACAGCACTGGTCCCAGTACGGACCCCTGAGGAACACCACTCATTGGCCGCCAATTGGACATTGAGCCATTGACTAAGACCCTTTGGTTGTCATTTATGTCATTTATGCCACTCCATTCTGCTGCCTCTTCTTTGGCCAGGGGTCCTGTAACCCATCAAACCCTGTTGCTAATTGCAGGGAACGAACCATCCTGCAGATGCAGCAAGAGATGAACAAGCTATAACCTGTCCTCTTGTTTGAGCTCAAATGTCTCCTACAAATGGCAATCAGTACAAAGAGATGATCACTAACTCACCTATAAATTCTTCTCAATAGAATTTACATACAACAGTTTTATTAATCTCTGTATCAAAATATTCCCAATTTAGCACGCATTGCCTCCTGCACTAAAAAAGCCCAGAAGATGAAGGATACTTGTGATGCATATTTGTACACTTTTAATAGCCAGGCAGTAGGGGAAAACTAATGAAAGTTCAGCTTTCCATTTATTGCAGCAGATGTATTTAGACAGGTATGGTTATAAATTAACATGTTGGCTACAATTAGTATTTAGCTATTAGGCTGCCAGCTTTTCTATATAAGTGTGTTTTATAACAGATGTGCTAACTTTTGGAGAACTAGCACTCTTGTAAGTCTTTGGGGGCAGTTTATATTGTTTTTCCCTTTACACCATAAGCTTCTATAAAAAATGTGTGTTCTGTTGTTCTCATAAATCTCGAAGCCCGCTAGGAATATTGTAAAATTGCAGTTCAGTGTTTAATGTTCATGCAAGTCCCATGGTATGGCTGATAAATAGTGGGGGAAGATGAGAAGTGCTGGTGAGATGCCTTTATTACTAATGCTTCTTCTCCCTTATTGTAGATTAAAAACCTAACCCAACTGCTTTCAATTTTCTGCAGCTAATTTCTGCAGCTCACTGACCTTTCAGTATGTTGAGCTTTTCCTTATCTGTATATCTTTGCTTTTATTTTTCAGGATGCTACACTGCTTTTTCTATTCCAGCCACCAAACTTGCCCCAATTAGCAATGCTTTCTCCTCTGTAGGTGCTATATTGAGTGTGTAACACAGGCCAGAAAGAAATCGCATGGAAAGGAACCTCATAATCACCCATCACTCGACACCTGCACTGAGTTTTAAAGAAAAATAAATGTTGTTTAGTGTTTTGGGATAGGTGATGTCAAACAGCTTGGAGAGCCAATGGAAAACCCCCAGTTGGGTTCAAAACCCTCACTCTGGTACCCAATGCTGCTGGGTGTGCTGAGCAAGAGACTGGCAGGAAATGGTTATTTTTCAGCCATATCAGTTCCCCTTTTCTGCTTCTATAAAGAGCTCACCATTCCAAAAGAAGAGGCTGGCACAAGGTGGAAATAAACAGTTAATAGATATGGAGTGGTTAAACTGGTGTAAGAAAAAGCACATCGAACCACAGCAGTGGGGGCCGTTGAGGTCAGAGTTAAGCATTTTCCTCACCAGGAATTCAGGAGAAATGCTTCCTAAGGAGACTTGTGTTGTGTGCAAATTGGACCATGTGGTTATCACGTCATGCATAAGTGTTACATGGTATTTAATGCACGATGGGTTGAAGGTTCACATTCATTCTTGTTATTTTACGGATAGTGTTTGCATTAAATATGTTTTTCTGGAATTTCCCTTCTGCCCCTTAATCAAATATTAAACATTTAAATGCCTAAATATCAATTTAATATCAATTTAAAAGCAAACTTCAGCTATGTCTAAAACACTGATTTGAGCAGGCATTGTGGAATTTAGAAGGACATGGAAAATCATCGTCAGGGGAGAAATGAGTACAAATCCCAATGTTCATTTTTATCACGAGACGTATAAGAATCCATTTCCAGATAACAAGCTGTCTGTGCATCCCTGCTGAGTTCAGTTCAATGGGGGAAGCATCAAACCGCAGATTATCTATACAAAGCAAGCCCATTTTCAAGTTGTAATTTTTTAAGCATGCATTAGGTAAAGCAGATCCATAATCCCCCATCAATATTAACTTTCATCCTGGGAAATGTACAAACCCCTTCATAAACATCAGGATTACCTCAGTCTTCTGTTTATTTTATTTGTTGGAATATTAAAAAATCAAATGGGGGAAATGTTTTTTACTTCACTGCCTGCTTTTGAAAATCAGATTATCTGATGACAAATGTTAAAAATCCTGTTGTGTCGTATTTGTGTGTTTTTTTACCTTATGTGCATTTCACAGGCCTTTTGTTCGATGAATACCATTAATCAATATGACTTGAATATGTACATTCCGTAGGTAAAGGGAGCGGCAAGATTTCAGAAGCAGTAAAGCCCACCCAAAAGTTTCACCCCATTGAGGCACTTGAGCCTGGAACTGAATATACAGTTCGTCTAGTGACTAAGAATTGGGTTGATAACAATAGCATTTTTGAAGATGTAATTGAGACAAGGGGGAGAGGTGAGACATGAAACCCTTCAAGGTGATAAAGATTGCTTTGGAATGTAAATAAATGTTGAGGTTGCATCTTACGTTGTGCAGTGAAAGTGTCCCAAAATCATCATTTTGCCGTGTGATTTTTAAGTTGCCCCCTTGCATTTGAATCCCAAGGGAGCTTAAACGCATCCCTGGTTCTCGGCTGAGTCCTGTGCTTCACGTGACACACAACAGCCTGGAACAACTACAAACCTTTAGAAAATGGATTTCCCTCTTTAGCAATTTTGAAAGGGTAGTGCTGGGATATTATCCATTTTGAGTGTGCCAATCCAGTGGTTTGCATGTAGCGGGTGCACTTTTAACTCTATTTCTTTCGCAAAACTGCTTTTGCATGAGAGGCTTAACAATTCTCTGTTCAGCTTTCCTATTTGGCATTAATCTTTTGAGTCAACTACTCTCTCAGAATTACCTTTCCCAAATGTCTGTATTGTGCCTTGTAGACTGCACATTCCCCTTAAGTCTAAAAATGTCACGCTCTGGACATTTTTCTGTCTTGCATTTCTTTAAATTGAAGACAATAAGTAGCGATGGTCTGATTAAATTAAGATTCACTGAAGAAGATGTTATGTATTCATGTTATAGTAGGGTGATGCCCTTTTCCTCTGATTAATTTTCTTTTTTTTTTCCACTCCTCTTCTGTTTCACAAAGCCTATGCTGGCATTTACGATGGAATTTCCACCCAGGGGTGGTTTATTGGACTGATGTGTGCCATCGCTTTGCTCACCCTACTGCTGCTAACTATTTGCTTTGTCAGAAGAAATAAAGGAGGAAAATATTCAGGTAAATGGATTTATTGTCCTTTTGCTATGTTCACATGTTAATAGCAAGCATCCTTCAGACTTTTATCTCTGGAGGCTGCAAAGCCACAAGCAGAAACATCCAATTAGGATTTGTAGCTTTTGATAAATACCCGCAGAATGGATTCTAATGAATATAAGTGAAACTGTGCTCTCTGGGTGAGATAGTGCTGCGTGCTGGTCAGAGATCTTGCTAAAGCCTTTGATGCTGCTCGTTAAATCTTCCCATATTTAATTCACCCGTAGAGCCAAGGTCCTTCACCAGCTGCACCTCTGAGCCTCCGTTGGCCAGGCTACCTGCTCCCTTTCCACCTAGTAACTGCTCCCTTCCATGGGCATGTGCTTAACAGGAGAGTATTTTGCTAAAAGTAACTCTGCAATTTTCAAAGCAATGAGTAAGGATTTAAGTAGAAATAATTAAGTATAAGTCTGGTTGCCTGGAGAAGTGGTAGATGCCCCATCGCTAGAAACATTCCAGGTCAGGTTGGATGGGGCTCTGAGCAACCTGGTCTAGTTGAAGATGCTCAGTGCAGTGGGGCTTGGACTGGATGGCCTTTAAAGGTCCCTTCCAATCCAAACCATTCGATGATTCTATAAACACTTTCTAGCTTTCTTAAAACTTAAGGAATGGCCCCAAACCCATGCTGGTTGTGTCCAGCCAGACGTGCAGTGTGAGCTGCTGCCCTCCAGGTTGGGCTGTAGGTGGTGGCAGGTGGTTTTCCTGTTGCACCTGAGAAAAGAAAAGTCCACGGCAGAACATGGCGTACAGATCTGTGCTTTATTTTATTTGTACAGTGAAAGAAAAAGAAGATTTGCATCCAGATCCCGAAGCTCAATCAATAAAAGATGAAATCTTTGGGGAATATAGGTAAATAGGACCTGCTTTAACAAGCATTTGTGTGTGTTGGGGTTTTATTTGTTCCAGATGTCATCATTATTTAAGACATTTTTATAGCATGCAATTAATGCTGTTTTTCACTTTCAAAGGAATCCTCATGGGAGTGGATAATAGTAGGAATATAAAGGTACATCCGTTATACTTAAATCCATCCAGGTTAGGATATAAGTAAAAGTTGATGTATCAGTGGTTATTTTTCACTTGTGTTTTTTTTTTAATTTATCATTGTATGAATAATGTAAATATATATGATAATTTGGGTTCCTGCTGTAATTTCCAATTGATAGACTTTTGTGTCTTCAGTGGGTTTCTGAAACCCAGTCAGGCCAAAGTCGTGTAACACAGGGAATGTTCATTTTGTGGAAGAAAACAAAATCTGAAACACAGTAAGTGATGGCAAAAACCCAAACAAATCTCACTACAGGTGTTTCTGTAGAAGAATGGAAATGATCACTTTGGCTGATTTAAAATAACTAAAGCTTACAATATTATGTAACTGTGGTATGAAGAAAAATCCATCACTATAAGAACGATGCTGGAAAAGTGGAGTCACTGGCCTTAATGGCGTAAAATTTCTGTTGAAATCCCACTTATATATACTACATTATTTGTACTGGAATAGGGTTTTTTTTCTGCATAATTTCATCTTTATTTAATTTTTAATGCTTTCTAATGGGACAAATATTTAGAAAGGTAAGAAAGTCCTCAGGTTAATAACTTTGACCCCTTCCTTTCCCCTCAAACTCCAAACTTCTCTTTTTTATTAATAGAAATGCCATATGCAGAAAAGTTGCAAATATTTTTACTGTATTGATTATACACGTTATTGACTGTATGCTGAAGAGGTAAAACTCAGGTGCATTTCTCTGCCCTTCCTTAGATAATATTACCAAAGCTTGGCATCAGCAGCATCCCTAACTGAGTAATTACCTACCTAGTTCAGAGACCTAATTTAGGGGTTTTTGTATTCTTTCAATCTATGTTCCCAGTCCCCCCAAATATTGTGTTCAGTCAGGAGAAGTCAGGCTGCTTTCATTGTTCTTCTGCAGTGCTATTAGGAGGCATGGCCAGTGGAATTTCCTTTTTTTCCTGAATTTTGGTGGTGGGTTTGTCCTTTTTCATGAAATTGCCATTGAACATTGGCTGCATATGAGCAGATGCAGGCACTCTGATTCTGCTTTTGTTTTTCCCTGGCTTTCTCCTTTGGCAGAGAGAATCTCCATCAGTTATAGAAATACAACAGAAGAAAAAAATAAAAAGGGAAAAAAAACCCTTCCTTTGTCATCTAAAACCGAATGAATGCTTACAAAGCAGTAAGATATAACCTAAAGCTGATGCCTTGCCCCACAGCTTTATATCAGTTCACGCACCCACCTCAAAAGAAAAATTAAATAAATAGGCCCTGAATATTGCCCACTGTTTTGTAAAATGAAAATGTCTCTTTCCATAAGGTGCCAAAGACTTGACACCAGCACCGATTGCTGGAACGGATCCCTCAAATCCTGTCCAGCATCTCCTTTCCTCTCCCCTTCACTTTCTGTTCATTCTTCTGTCTGTCCAGGGCAAAAAGGGGAAAAACCAAAATACATGTGTAGTTTCTATTGATGTTTACCTTTTTAACCAATTCCATTGTTGTAATAACCACCAAATCACGTACGCGGGGAATTCAGGTCGGTGTGTGTGATCAGTCTGAGGTGCACCAGGCCCAACAGGACTCACAGGGTCAGATGGTTCTCAATGTACAACCCACATCCAAATGTTCCCCTCACTCTTCCCTCCTGCTGCTTTCTCGCCCAAAAAAAAAAAAAGCAGTTTCCATGCTGGCAATTAAAAGCTGGATTTTTGGAAAGGCGTTTCTTTGTTTTGTAGTGACAGCGATGAAAAGCCGCTGAAAGGCAGCCTCCAGTCAATTAACGGGGACATTAAAGCCACTGAAAGTGCTGATAGTCTGGTAGATTATGGCGAAGGGGAGCATGGGATGTTCAATGAAGACGGTTCATTTATTGGAGCTTATTCTGGATCTAAGGAAAAAGGATCAGTCGAAAGCACTGGGAGTTCTACAGCAACTTTTCCTCTCCACGCCTAAAACATAAGCAAGAATGATTCATGTTTAATTGTGATATTTATCCTGATTAGTACTCCACAGTTGCCATATGTGATTGGAAGCAGGTTGCCAATTGAGCCAGTCAGGAACCTGACATCCAGGTAATATAAAAATAAGTCACTGCCACTAAAAGATGATTCTCCATCCTAATTTCTAGGTCTTTTTTTCTAATTAAAACAAAACAATTCTTTACTATACAAAATGTCCTGCTCAGTCTTACCAAAACCGAATTTCTCGGTGTTACATCTGGGTACTAACTGCTCCTCCCTGTGTTTCTTAGGTTTGGAATATGTTTCTCTGCATAGTATTTTTGTTTTCCTGTATGGCTGTTGTCACGTCGTACATACATTTATATGTAATATTCCCTCATGTACCTTGTAGAGGTAATAGCACAACAGGAAAATCAAACAAAACCAACAGGGTACTCTGCCAAGTGACAACAATGCATCCTACTGAGAAAAATGATAATTTAAAATACTGGAGAAATATATTCTATCTATTGTATAATTTTTCATAAAGAAATAAACCCCTTTGCTTATGATGCGCTAAAATTATTTTAGTGGTTACAGCTGACTGCAATTACCAATACTTAGAGATGCAACTTCATCCACAGAAAAATTGCTCTTAAAGGACCAGGCTCTGGCCTCGTGGATGACTCTTCTGTCCAGTAGCTGGCACTATTTCCTTAAATAAGTGAAGCTGCAGTATCTTTCCTGTGGCAAGGCAAAACAGGGTTCCCATCCACCATCGTTAGGAAGTGTTTTAATTTGTTTTCCCGAGTCTCTGCAAGCTGCATTTCTAAGCAAAATGCTTCTCGTCTGTCTCATATTTGTATATTTGTGCGCTAGCATCCATTTCACGGAGACGTTGTACATATGATATTAATATTGACACAAGTAAAAATCAGCCTTGTTTTATTTTGAAATGAGACCTGTTGCTAGCATGAGTCTGTATAGCTGTGTAGGAATGAGTAGAATTGCTTCTCGATATGACTTTGGACCAGCAAAACTAGTTTTCAGAAGGAGTTGTGTGTTTACCAGTCATAGCAGTCTCACATCTTTCTAGTATCGCATAAAATAGACCTACCTGACTTTCAAGAGACCATTTATTTTCAAGCTATTCGTTGTTAAATAAACAAAAGCGAAAGCAAAGAGAAAATATTGTGGTATAGTTCCGTTTATATTTTGTTTACTGAACGCTGGTTTAAATCTGGTTCTTTTCTTTGCCTCTCCGACACTAACTCAGCAAAGCTGCACAGCACATTTTTTTGGTCTTTTTGTATTGGAATCTCCTGAATTTCTTTAAAAGCATTTGTATTTTTGAATATGCCTGTTTGAGTAGAGTATCAATATGGCTTTGTTTCTTCTTGCGCTTACAAATAACTGCCACTGCAATTATAATATTTTTCAAATAGTTACTGCGGGAGGGATAGATCCTAAAAGCCATTTTGCATCGTGGTAGTAATTAGGCAAATATACCCACTGCCTCCTTCATGTTCTCCATTACTTCAGTGGAAGAAAGAGAGGAAGCAAGAATTACTCACATGGTTAGGAGGTTCCAGTAACGGCCACAATTAAGACCCGTGAGATGCCCACAGAAATGCAGGTTCTTCCCAGAAGAAAGGCCATGGTTCATACTCACCTTACACTTGGGCTGCTCCCCAGCACTCAGCCATTTCTGAAAGCAGTAAAATGGCCTTTGGTGCTCGATACTTCTGCATATCTGTTCCTCTTTTTTAAAAAAAAGTTGTAGCTTGTAAAGGTCTTTCGCACAGCCACTATTTGGGAAAAGCAAACCCCAAACAGCCAGCCCGACTGAACCCCCCAGTGGTGCTGTGTGTGTGAGTATAAAAGGGTGAGTAGAAATCTGCCCTGAGTCACAAACCACCCCACTGCAATGCAGTGACCCAAGTCATTCACTTTTTATTATTTATAAAGTTTTATGGAACTCGATGATCTTCAAGGTCCCTTCCAATCCGAACATTTTATCATTTCCTGTAATTCACTCAATCCAAATGCTGAAAAAGTCTGAAGTAATTTTCATTTTTTCAAAAAAAAAAAAAAAAATCATTTGAAAAAGAAGGGAGTGAGTAATTCGGGAACTGTGACAATTGGCATCTCATCAACATTTCCCACCAGGATCTTTATCAGCTGCCTCTTGTCTGCTGCAGCCCAAACGAGATAAAGTCTAAGAACTGATGAGGCTTGTGACAGCCTTTGATGCAAGCTTTGGGCTGGTTTTAATGTATTTTCTTTAGGAATCACCTGCACCAGCACATGCTTAAGGGCCTTTGAAATAGGAACAGAATTGGGGTGTGCTGTCCCCATCTCCCCAAAGCCTCCCAGTGTGTGAAGGGCTGTACTGGACCCCGGCAGAGATCTCCCAGACACTGGGCAGAGCATCCCAATGGGTGAGGCTGGATGTGACCCCAGTCTTCTGTTTCCATGTGTTTTGGGTCGCTGCAGATCAACTAGACTCATTGTCCCAGAAAATGCCTATGTTAAACAGACACAAATTTCAGATCCTATTAGCGAGTGTCAAATTATCGAATAATGACTATAAATCCCCTGTGCTATCACTGGCTCTGTTGCTGCTAAGAGATGTTTATGACATTCCTGTGATGTGTTCCTCATCTGTGCTGGTGTGAGTGCTTTTTCTATTAAAATTTTAATTCAGATCCTGAAATCTTAATGTTGGTGTTCCACGATGCCTCGGGGCCTAAAAATCATACAGTGACAAAAAGATGTGCAATGGAATTTGTACAGTGCACACTGACTTTTGAGGAATATGCCCAATGAATATTAAACAAATGGCTAAAACTCCTGGGGAATCTCACTCACCTGAGCTTTTTTTCTCTTTCTCAATCATTTATTTTCCTTTTTTTTCTCTTCCCATTGGGGTTTTATTTTCTATCGTAAGGGTACAACTCATACAGTGTACCTTGGAAGGTGCAGGACACTGATGGGATTTTAGAGATTTGCTTTCAAAAGTAAACTAACAGAGCACGCTCACATTTTCCTGAGCAGTTTTTTGTCATTCTCGCTGCATTTTTTCTCGGGCAGCCTGTTAGAGGTGAGAGGAAGCATGGCCATGTAGGGTGAATAAAAATTATCACCAACTGTAATGCAGTTTGAAAATAGTACATTAAATAACTATTATTTTTTTTTTAAACTCTGGCCAGGAGTGTTTATTAAAATTAGTTGATGGAAATCTGTGGTGATTTCATTAATTAATACCTAGCAGGGAATTTCAGGCTGCCTGCTGGGAGGAAGGAAATCAGGGATGGCCAGCCTTATGAGACAGGGGATTATTAATTATCCAGTGCCGTGGCTGTTGGCTTGGTCATGTTGGGTTCTGATTCACTGTTACGTTTTGCTGGTGGTACAAGTGTGAGGGGGGAGATGACACTTTCAGATTTGATATCTCAGTCAACCCGGGATGCAATTTCATCCGGCAAGGTGGAAGCATTGCCCTGGCCCCAGGAATCCTGGCTTGTGGATTCAAGCAGCCTCCCCTGGAACAAGGGGGATGTTTCTCAAAAAGTTGTGTGCATAAGATAAAGCAAATAAAAAAGCAAAAAGACTGTGCATAAGATAAAGCAAATAAAATCAGCTCCTCCTGAGTAATGGAGGGAAAAAAGCCCCGTGTGCTAGCTCTTGTGCAAGTGAGCTGTTTGCATGCACAGAGCAGCCTAGTATTGATTTAGGATGGATTATAATTGACCTAAGTTTTCATAAAAAAAAAAAAATATATATATATATAATTTGCACAATCAAGAACTTGTAGGAATGGCCCCAGCTTCATTCTCTGGCAAATTTTGGGGACCCAGTCTCAAGAAATCCTCACACTTGACTCTGCCCTTCAGCAAAGATAATTGTTCGGGACTGGTAACGAAGCCCTTCTGGGGCTGGATCTTTAGGAACAGTAGAAATAGGAACCAAATCTGAAAGTGACTTTCCCCTCGGATAAAGATGTGAGTGTATCTATAATAAATTAAAAAGCCTTCTTTGTAACTGAAGTTTTAATTGTATCTAATTAGCATATCATTTCATGATTTGTGATATTTGTTCTGTTGTGTTACTATTACACTAGTTTTTAATGAGTAGCTCTTTTTCTTACTACTTCCACTGACTGAAGGGGTCAGACCGATGCATGAGAAGTTTTAATAAAAGTTTTCAGGCCAATTTTATTTTTGAGATGAAAACAAATACTAGCACAATCTTTCTATATAAAAAGGTGGGGTTTTTTAACAGTAATTCCACATTCAGTTTTGTAAAGCTAGATTAAAATTCACTGATCCTTGTGTGCTTCTGAAAGGAAATCTCATCATAATTTTTTATAGTCATTATGTTGCAGACGAGTGGTAAATCTAGATTATTTTACGTACCTGTAAGTACGGATATAAAGAAGGGAAATTCTTCATGGCAAGAGAATTTCCTTTGTTTGACAGTGGATCAAGCCCTCAGCTGCATCTCTGTTAACGTATAGGATTTAAAAATAAGGCATATAAACCGGGTTGAGGTACCAGTACATGTTTACATTGCAGCTCCATATCTTTCATGTAAAAGTCTCAAGCAATCTGCACTGATTTGTTCAGTTTTCAGGCAGGAACCAGTAGGCGGGTTTGAGCCAAAGCGTACTGTCTAGTTTCGTTTTTTATTATTATTACTTTGAACAAGATACTTTGTAATTTCACGAGAAAAGATCAAAGCAAATGTGGTGTCACCGTTACAATGTTACTTTTTGAGCTAAATGTTAGCGTGCATTTATTAAAGTTTAGAGAAACGTGTTGTACTGTAGTTGCTGTTTGTATCATGCATATGTGCATGTATGGTTTTACAAGATATTTTCATTTTACATGAAATACAACTTTGCTAATAAAAGTTTGACTTGATGTAATCTTCAAAAGCCTTAGCTGTAATCAGCAAGTTTTTCTTCTGCTTTGTTTTGGGGTTTCTTTTTTTCCTTCTGATAGCATTTCTTTGTTGGAAATCCGTTTTAATTGCCATTCATAGCCCTCTCTATCTTGTGGTGGGTTTTCTTGCCCCACACCAAGGTTGAGATGCCCTTGGGTTCTGCTGGGACTGTTGGACACCACAGACAAACAACCACCTAGATATGATCTACAGCAAAGTAGGGATGAACCTGAATAGTGAACACCCTGAGTTTCAAATGCCTCATTTATTTCATGGTGTGATCATCTCCTGGATCAAACCATCGTCCTATATAACGTTAGCATCTATAAGATGCTTTATATACTCCCTGTCGGTTCACATCACACAAGCGCCCAAGCACACAGAGCTTCAAGCTAAATGAAATACCCACAAAAATAACATGATCCAGTATTAAACCAGACTTAGCCATGAAACAGAAGACAAAACCTCAACGTGCCAGGCGTGAGCAGAGGTGAAAGGAGCTGATCCCGTTTTGCTATAAAGATTAGCAGGGAGAATTTCTGCTCCTCTTCATTAACAATCACCAGAATAATGGTGATTTTATAAATATCCAGGTACCTAGAAACCCAGTAATACTCATGCTTTTCTTATACTTTAGTTAGGGAAAACTCCATTTATGCTGAAAGTCTGAAATCCATATGTATTCATTATATAGAAATATAACAAATGTTCTTTGCTTGCCAAGGAAAAGAGCAAAGTACTTCAGTTCTATCATTACTGAGCGTTAAAATGGTCATGCTGTCTCTGTCTCACACACACACTATTCAGTGTTATGTGATTTCTTTCATTCCTCTCTGCCTGTCCATGGAGAAGGGATGACCAGGCAGGATGCACACGATGCGCACAGGTACACACGTCTGGTACCCAAAACAGCAAAACTGCACTGCTGAGGACAGCAGAGAAATCCATGGCAGCTGATATTGCTGCAAAATCCGTTTTAAAAAATAAATACATATAAGATCTAGACAGTGCTCAAGTGTGAGACAAATTGCTCACACCAAGCATAATCCCTGGCTTCCACCCCTGGCATGGTTTCTGCGCAATGGTAAGAGTAATACACTCAGTGAAAGAAATGCCCTTCCACACTATTTTTTACCTCGTGTTTTTAGTTACTTCACTTTAGCAGGAAGGTTTCAGGACTTTTTAGACTCATTTATCACCTGCAAAAACTCTTGAATACGTTCAGTCCAAATGCAGAAGCAAGCGGGTCTGTGCTAGGTAGCATTCACCCTTCAGGAAGGCATCAAGGGCATCCCAAGTTGTTTTTATTATTATTCGTAGCCTGGAATAATGAGATTTACACTGTTCTCCATACCATAATAGAGGGGGAAAGTGTTACAATCATGTGCTTCACTGGAGTGAGAATAAAGATGATGCTGCCACCCTCAGGTGCATGGGCTGCAGATCCCAGCTCCCCGCATCCCACAACCTCTGCTGGCACCCAGCCGACACATCCCTGGGCAAAACTTTAAGGAGAAAGTATGGGACCAATATACCTTTATTTGATATTTGGCTTTTAATACCAACTTGGCATTATCGGCACTAATTTGGGGACGGAGTATTTTTTCTAATGTTCAAATATTTCATTCTGTTCCTTCGGTATTGCAATGAAATGTCATCGCTTTTGGACTTTTACCATCTGTTAATAAGCTTGAAATGCAGAGAACGCAGTCAGTCACCCCGTGGAAATACCAGCAGTCTCACTCCTTGGCAATGTGTAAGCTCTGCAGATTTACAAGCCTCATTTAACAAGACCTGTGCATTGTTTTTGCCACGCTCAAGGCCCTGATGGCGTCACTGAGGCCACATCCCCATTTGATGTGGCTAAACCTGCCCCAGAAGAACCGTCCCACCCCATCACTGCCTGGAGATACTGGTATTTCTGTAAAAAAAAATCCACCCCGTCCCACTGCCTGGCCACATAGTGTCCAGCTGGCAATTCCTCCTGTGCTTCTTCCTTTTGTGGAGCATCCCTGTAGGCACAGGAGCCATTCCTGTCTGGCTGCAGGATCACAACACCCTTTGCAAATGAAAAAAAAATTGCTTGTAGAGTTTATACTGCTTGGCTGCACATCCAGCCCAGCCTAGGGGTTGCAGCATGGTCCTCCCCATTCGCTTGGGTCATCAGGGCAGGAACATTTCAAATCAGAACACATTTAGCAGTACATTTTGTTTGGGTTTTTTCACTTTGACAAAATGATCTTGCTGTGGAGTTCCATGGCTTTGTGTTGCTACGCTTTTTCAGCGTGTTTGCAGGACTCTTATTAACTGAAACCTCCAGAAACTGGTGGCTTTGACATTTGCTCTTCACCTGGGACAGAGGTGAGAAGCCATCGGTGTGAGGAGGAATGAGAAGCCATGGGGAGCCATGCTCTGCTCAGCACCTGGCATTCCCACAGCCAGCAGCATTTGCCAGAATAAGAACTGGCTCCTTTCCAGTTGCTCCTCCTGAAGGAAATGACATACAGGTGGTACCTCTTTACTAATTATCCTGGTAACAAATCAGAAGCTTTTCCTTCCAATCTGGGATGCAGTTACCTTTAAGGTTACAGAGTGTTTCCATCGCTTCTTGATGGATGAGAAAGCTCTGCAGCATTTGCTGGGCTGGAGATGGAGCTGGAGGAAGCCCCGTGGCTGTGGGGAGATGACCCAGACCCCCAGGTGAGAGCATATCAGTGCTGGAAAAATGGGAATGTTACTGCTTTTACCTGAAATAGCAAGGTGGGAAGGTCAGGAGGCCTTGCTGTGGTGATGTATGGGGCTGCGATCTCCACCAAAGGGCTTTGCTGCCACCAGGGCTGGTTTCCAGTGTCCTCTGTGTGGCTTCCCCCTTTCTCCTGGCTGGATGATGTGGCTGGTCTCCCGTGTTTCTTCCAAAATGGGGCTGTTGTTATCCCTGAGGCAGCACAATTGCCTTTCCTGCACAAACTTTGGCTTTTTGCTTCTTCCTCCTGACTCTCTCAGCATCTGTCTGTATTGATCCCTCAGATTCCCTGGGCTTGGAAAACTTCCAGCCCGTTTGCATCAGTGCTGTAGTGGTGCTTCTTCCTCACATGGAAGACATGTTCCACTTAAAGATACAACTGGGATTTCAAAACTGCTGTGGATCAAGACGTCTGCGCTGTTCCAGATTTTTTTTTTTTTTTAAAGCTTAAATTTTTTTTAAATCTGGAAAAAAAAAAAGGGAGGGTGAGATTAATCTGCAGGCCTTAACACTCCATGTAATAAATGCTCGTTTCTGGGAGAGAAGAGACTTAAATGGGAGCATGACTTGTGCCACATCCCCCAGCTCCACCATGTAGGGTGTGAGCCCAAGGAGCACCCAGGTGGGCACCCAGGGGACCCTGGCTCTCAATGGAAAGCAGTGGGCTGATGCTGAGGATTTAGCTGAAGACACAGCACTTTGTCCAAAACAGTTACTGCTTGCTCCTCAGGGTGATATAGAGAAGACCTGTGCAGGTGTTGAGGTCTCCACCAGCATGTCACTGGTGTGGAGACCTTCCCGAGCCCAGTTTTGGTCCATGATTCAACCTGGGAATGACCTGTGTTGCTTTCTCCTGTACTCTTCTGCCACGCTGTGTCTCTGCAGGGGGTTGGGCACAGGGCAATTGAGGTTGTTTACATTTTCAAATGAGTTCCTTCTATGCTTATTTATTAAATAATTAAAATCACAAGTGAAGTTTCTAATAAAAATAAGCTCACCACGTGAGAGGGATGTTATCCTTTACGACTTCAGGCAGTCCTTGTTCTGAGCGTTTATTTTCCTCTAAGTGGCAATTTACAGAAAACATGCATACAAAAACATCACTGGGCTATTTAGACTGACAGTGGAGTAGCAACTTTCAATAGAGCAGGAGTTCTGGTTAATTATTTATAATTAAGGAAAGAGTGTATTATTTTTTTCCAAACTGAGCATGGAACCGAGAGGCCACTAAGTAAATAAATTTACATAAAGTGCAGTGAAATCAGATCATTTGACACACTAATTTGCCTAATGTAAAAAAAAAACCACCAAAAAACCCCAACTTTTTTTTAAAGTTCTTGAGGAAAATAAATTGTTGCAAAGGGATCTGGAAGTGGCAATGACAAGTGGAGGGGGAATAGCTCTGGAACATGGGTCTTGAGGAGCTTTGTGAGATAGAGGGAGGAAAGAATCATGGCAGTTAAAGGTCCTTGTTTGCATTCTTTCTTCATCAGGAGTGATTTTCTTCACAGGTCTGAGGGGAGGGGAGTTTTTTGGTGAAAAATAGTTTATTTCATGTCCTATCACCATCATTGAGGATTTTAATTTTTCTAAAAATGTTTCTTGAAAAATTTTCACTTGAAAACCAACCAAAAAACATTTTGTTGTTGTTGTTGCATTTTTTAACAACTCTAAGTATGCAGATGAGATAATTCTTAATGATGTCATGGTTGCTGTCATGATGCCTCTTAGCTGCTGTGTTTTACACATTTTTCTGGCATTTTTGTGCATGTTGGTAGTGCTGAGCTGTGCTTGGCTCAGCCGTGCTGCTGCTCTCCTGCACAGGGATTCACTCTCCTGGGGCTCCATGGGTTGACCTGAGCCTGATTTTTCTGAACCTCCAGTCCCAGGGACTTGCAAAATTATGAATAATGGAGAACTTAACTGTTCTGTTTTCAGATTGTATTTGGGTTTTTCCCATATTGAAACATACAGTCTACCTCAAGAAATAAAGGTCATCAAGCTCAGTCTGTGATTTATTGAGAATTTTACATTTCATGTATTTAATTTTTTTTTAATAAATAGTTACAAATAAACCTTTTTTTTAAAACATAGTTACTCACTAACCTTGTGGAGCTCTGAAAGTGTGAACCCATGAACCGAAAAGTTCAAAAAGCCCTGGGGAACGGAAGAAGAGCAGACTAATTATTTAATTATGCAGGATTGTGACTCTGTGCCTGACTCTGACTTTGAAAATTGGGAGTTAGAAA